CCCACATCACTACTGTAGGAAGCTTTTACTCTCCAAACCTGGCTGAGCACCAGCCAGAATATGGCTAAGCCTCCCGGGCAAACATGGAGTGTATTCATCACAGCAAAGACAATGAACTACAGCACTGACACCAAGTATATTCTAGGAGGCAGAGGTACATTGCAGTAGACAGCAGGGTGACAGTGATATCTGGGTGGCCATACCTGGGCCTGCCTGTATGTTGGTGTCACAGTAGGAAGCACTATACTAACCTTTTCCCTGTCTGCTTCTTCTCAACCTGGGCGCAAGGCTCAGTGAGCATGTCTCCAGGGGCCTATAATAACAACCACTGTAGATTTTCTCTCCCTTGGCAAGGTTTTTGGACAAGGCAGGAAGGAGGTTAGAAAGCAGGGCTCTGGGCAGCCATATCATTCCATGCCTCTTGCTGGTGACTGGACAGAAGTCCCATAGGCACACAAGCAAACCACCATAGCTTCCTCACATGTGCTGTCATCTCTAGTCTCATGACCCTGATGCGCTGCCAAGTCCACATGGAGATGGCATGCATTGAGCAGGATGAGGACCGGCTGGAGCCTGCCATTGAGCACTTGAAGAAGGCCATGCGCCTGGACAGCCAAGGCATCTACCAGGACAAGTTAAGCATGGTTTACAACCGGCTGCAGTTGTGTACTATGCTGTACCAGTCCCCTGATCGTCCTGAGGACAAGGCCACCATGGCCATTGAACAGGTACGGACCCAACCCATTGTGGGGCCAGGCTTCAAATGAAGAGTCTAAGGGGGAACCCTAGACAGAGAGAGTCTTAGGGACCATGCAGACCCAAGGATGAGGCCCAAGTTTAGCTACTCAAGGTCTGTCTGGCATACAGAAGACCTGTGGGAGCTCTGTTGCCTGAGGGTGGAACCACAGGATGCCTCAAGAGTCTCAACCATCCCAGTGGTGAGGCTACCTTACATTGTGCACATCATACTGTTTGCAGGCAAAGAAAGCCACCCTGAAAGACAGTGCCCGGAAGAAGCGTGCACTCCTGGTGAACGCGGGTCTGGCCCTCGCCCCTGACACCTTCCAGATCGTGCTGGACAGCGAGAATGAGGCCAAAGGTTAAGTGCTGACCTTGAAATCACTGCCCTTGACCTTGTGGCACATCATATCAGTCTCTGGAAGCACTAGAGAAGGATTGTGTCTACAAGTGGCTATTAGTAGCAGAGTATCACAACCAGAACTTAACCTCACTGTTCCAGATGCTGGACGTCTGTGGTTAGGATGTAATGGGCTGGTCTCTCGTAGTGCCATCTCCCTTGGCTTGCAGATAGTCAGCTTTGCTCTGTGTCCTCACTGGCTGTCCTATACGTCTACCTCAATGTCCTCTTTGTACAAGGCCTCAGTCATAGAGTGAGCAGGGCCTCCTGGATGGTCTCTTCAACCCTATCACCTATTCAGACCCCATCTCTTGAGAACAAGCCTTCATTTTGGAGTCCAAGGCAGGGCTTGGAAGCAGCCTGTCTGGGGGCACAGTTCAGTCCCCAGTACCATCTGAGGCACAAAGACGGCAGCTCCAGGGTACTCTTTGTCTCAAAGCCGAGTATATTTCACTTACCTGGACCACCTACTTTGTCCCCAGGGTAGAAACAGGGTTGTACTATACCCTAGTTATGGCTGATGAGCCCATCTATCAGGGACAAGCCAGTAACTCCAGCTAGATTTTAGTTGGCGGAGGCACTCTCCTGGAGCTCCCTCCAGCACAGCTCTGACAAAAAGCGTTACAGAGACGTGAGCCTTGAAGACGACTGTCTGAAGTTGAGTTAGCTGTAGCCCATGTTGTGGGTCCAAGAAAGGGGCCCACAAGAAAGGAAGGATGAAGTCATGGCCCTGTACTGGGATGAATGAAGCCCCCAGAAATAGAGCCCTCATAGCCCAGGAGGTGTCTGTCTACTCCTCAGTATCCTTTGACCTTTTTTCATGGCTCTGGTTGTGTTTTGTTTTGACTCTCATGAGTCTGAGAAGCTTTGGGTCTGTTGACATTACATGGGTGGGCCTATCCTACTTGGTTGGTTCATTTCAATAGATGAACATAAACGGCTGGCCTAGAGTCTGCATTTTCACCAGAGGACATAGTGCCAAGCTGGCACCTGAGGACTTACCAAGGCTTGGAGGCCCAGGGGGAGGGTACCCCAGCAAGTGAACACATGTGTTATATATGGAAGCACAGAAGAGGCAGGAGGTCACCCAAGAGGAGGTGTATCCCCCCCCTCCAATCCCAAGCCCCAGTTTCCTATCTGGTGTCTCCTGTGCCTGGCTCTGCACTGGGCAGCTGTCTCTCACTGTGAAGTTGATCTCTAGGTGGGTGTTCGTCTTAGATCTGGAAAGGGGACAGTGATTCAGAACCTCGACATCAAGCAGACATGACTGTCGAGCTTGGCAGTGAATAGTGGGTGCTGTCTGAGAGGCCTGGTGCTTCTGAGACAACACAGGCTGTCTCTGAGAGCTGGAGGCTCTACACACACCATAGTAGCTCAATGTCATTGCCGGTCCAAAAGCAAAGATGCCCTAGTAATGGGTCCTCCTCATACCCCAAGAATGAGCACAGCTGTCAAAACCTCATTGCAGAGTATGGTGTCACTGGCCTGGGTCAGCAGTGCTATTCCACACCCAACCCTGGCCCGCCTCCTCACCTTGAATGTTTCATGCTTTCAGTTTCCACTGGGAAAACCAGGGGCCGTTTCACCTACCTCTGTGCAAAAGCTCGACATTACATTCTCAGCGTGGACAAAGCTGCTGGGCACCTGCGGCGTCTGGGAAATGAGAATGACAAAGAGAGGTGAGCCGGGAAGGAGGGAGCAGTGCGGGCAAGGAGGGTCTGTCAGCTGAGACCTTCATCCAGACACTGAGTTCATGGCTACCTGAGACACTGTGAGGGATGACACGTCACAGATAACCCATATGCAGCCTCAGTGCCGAAGGTGTGCCTCTTTCCTGTGGAACACTGAGCCACTTATTAGGGCATGCTGGCCAAGGCTACCTACCACAGGAGTACCCAACCCAGGGAGACCTACCCACACCACATTCAGGGAAATAAATTACGTGGGGGCATTTCTCATTGTTAAAAGGCCAGAAGTGTCGCTGATACTGGGGAGAGAACAACCAGAGAGCTGCACATGACCTTGGGGACAGCCCTAGCTCTGACCTCTGGGCCATGACCCTACAAACTGTTCCAGCTCTGACCCTTGAGTTATGACCCCTGCATGACCCCACTGTCTAGGACTGTCTTCCCATTCACACCCTCGGCCAGCTGCACTTGTGTGTTTCAAGTCAGTACTTGGCACCTGGATGCTATAGGGTGGCTTTCCCCTGGAACAGTCCCTCCAGGTGTTCCTAATTTCACCTGTGCTTTCTTTTCACCACCTGGATCTTGATGTACAGAATTATGATTTGGTCCGAGCTGGCCAAGGTTGCCTGGAATCAAGACGTGTGTGATGTCTGTCGCACGGCAACCCGCTTCGGCCTTCTGTATGACAATCTCAAGTCAAAGAAGACCACAAAGCTAAAACGAGGTGTGCATCCCTACCATGCATGTGCCCCCTTGGCCTGTGGGTAGGCTGACCTTTAGGGCTTCATGAACCTCTGGTGGCTGTGGCAGCCACAGCACCTCTGAACCAGTAGATCCCACCAAGGGACACCAGGCAAAGGATGTAACACTGAGCCAATGGACCCTTCCTGGAAGGGTTCTGATCATGTGTTTGGTTTAAAAGGGCCTTTACACCGACAGCAACATTTCTGAGTACATATTTGGTCTGGCCTCTGCATCTGTAGGCTTTACATCCACAACATCAACCACAAAGGTTTCAAAGTATTTGCAACAAAAACAAGCATCTGTGCTGAGCATACACAGCCTGCTTCCTGGCTGTTATCCCTGAACATTGCCCTTTCACAGTGATCCACACAGTGCGTACATTGCGCCCAATGTCACAGTCAACAACAGATGATTTACAATGCAAAGGAGGGCTGTAAAGTTTCCATGTGTACATGGAGCCATTTTATAAAAAGGACTGTGCCTCAGTACCCCTGGGAGGGGGGGCGGTCCCAGCAACACTGAGTGGCAGCTGTGCTTAAAACTGACCAATAGTAACCACAAGGGATACAGAGTTAGAGCAACCCATGCTGTCCCTCTTGAAGAGCTCCTCCCACAAAGAGCTGGGCAGAGACTTGGGCAGCAGGTTGCTGCGGGAGGAACTGCTGCAGTTTGACTTGCTCAAAAGGAGCCCATCTTTCCCTGCTGCTCTTCCCTCAGTGAAGAAGAAGAAAGGTACCGAGGGCACCGTGCATGACGTGGGGCCATCTGAGATGGCCCTACAGAAGCATATGTCCCCTGACCTGCTGAGGAAGATCGCAGAGATGTCATTCCTCAGTGCTGAGGTGCGTCATGAAGGTCTTGGCCACTGTAGCTCCCAGTGTTGAGGTGACCATTAACATACCAGAGAGACGTATCATGCGGGCTCCCCAAGGCACACACATCCCTAAACAAAACTGTAGAGAGGAAATGAATTCAGTTCCCGGAGGACTGCGTGAGAAAAGTGTGAACAGAGGTGCAGTGTGGTGTGCATTGGCATGAATTTTCTTTGTGGGAAATCATTTCTGGATTTGGGATGTGAAGTTATGTTCAGGGATTGAACTCACGGTTGACTCAGGAAGCTGTTGAAGGAGGTGTGATCCCTGCCATAGGACTCTGTGGGCTCAGTGGAGGCCTGAGCTGGATCTTGGTTCCCCAAAACCAATAGGCCTGCTCCTTTACAGACGGGGTACTGAGAGCCAGTGCTGGACCATGTGTGTTGTGACCCAACAGTATCCAAAGCCCCCACACCTGTGCCAATGTCAGAGGCAACCTTGGCCATCCGTTTTATCCTCACAATTATATAGCATTTCCTTTGGTTTCACTCAATGGGAACAAAGCAGAGGCTGGGAGCACCCATTGATTTATTCCATCAGAGTCTAGTGACACAGCATGACCAAAGACAAACCCTGTGCTCAGGGAGCAAACTGCCAAATGTCAATGCTGAGAGTTGACATGCAAGGAGGCCAGTGGCTGAGACTGACTAACTGGACTGCCAGCTAGTGGCTGGCCTGATCCATGTCCTCTGGTGGGCTTTGCAGTCTTTGAGCTTGCGGAGCAAGTTCGGGAGGCTTCAGGGAGATGAACAGTCGGCCAGTTGCCATGGTAGAACAGAAAGGCGGTTCTGCCCTCCCACTGAAGTGTGATGATGAGTGTGGACCACACTTCTGAAAGAAGCCCTCCTCTTCTTGGGATGCATGAATTGGCAGGCCGCTGAGGCAAGTGGAGTATGCAGGTCCATCAAGTGCTCTTCATTTGTGTTTGGCTTTTTCAAAAGCAGGGTTTGCTGCACGTTCCCCCAGTGCTGTGGTCTGCTTACTGTGACTTCTATGACTGTATGCTTCCTCCCAGGCCACTGTCCATTTGCTGCACTTGGAAGGTGTGGAGCTGAACAGCCAGGCCATCCCCCCTGAGGACTTGAGCCAACACCCAGCTGGCTATGTGCCTGAGCCACCAGATATCAATCCAGAGTGGATCACATACAGGTGGGTGGGAGTCCCAGCCACCCTGTAGACCAGCGGTTCTCAACCTGTGAACTGTGACCCCTTTGGGTTCACACATCAGATGTCCTGCGTATCAGATATTTACACTGCATTTCACAATGGTAGCAAAATTAGTCATGAAGTAGCAATGGAATAATTTTATAGCATGGGGTCACCACAACATATATTAAAGGATCATAACATTAGGGAGGTTGAGGGCCACTGCTCTTGACCAAGGGTTGAAGAACTTTCATTTGCTCAGACCCCATTGTGGATGAAGCAGGATACACATATTAGAACCTAGACTGTTTGTAAGCCATGGCTAAGAGTGGCTTGGACTAATCAAACAATTGTCAAACCAAACAGAAGAAGCATGCTACAGAGACTTTAGTGACTCACTAAAATACTGACTTGGCCCTGATGGGAAGAAGTTTCCCAGCTGAGCTGATGGGAGAGAGTTACTTTCACCACAAGCACTGTGATGAGTGGCTACACTGCCTTGCTCTAGGTACAACCTAGCAGGCCATGTGTGCTGGGGGCAGGTGCAGCTATAGAACTTCTTGGAGCTAGGGGGTGAAGGCAGCCAAAGAGGTGACAGAAGGCAGCCTGGAAGAGGCCTTAGGCCAGCACTCCTCCTCAAACCAGGGAGCTCTTAGCAGGTCTGTAAGACTCATCGCATGGGAGGAGCAGTGTGAGGCAGCTTGCCAGTATCTGGGTAGGAAGGAAGAACAGATTAGCATATCTAGAGGATATGGCAAGGGCTAGGTAGGACCAGGTATAATCAGGAGCATTTGGGACAGTTGCATGAGGGGAGCAGCACCAAGACAGTCTCTCTAGAGCCTGGATCCCTGGCCTAAACAGACAGCCAGAAATGCCCCCAAACCTGAGTGGGGATGACCCAGACAGTCCAGGCTCAGTGGTGTGTGGGATGGGGAAGGTGGAGGCTGGATGTTGAGCTGACTGCTCACTGTTTGTTGTTTCAGAACCTGGATAGAAAGCCTGTCACAGTATGCAATGGGCAACTGGCTGCGTGCTGCAGAGATTGGGCAGGACTTAGGGGAATCCTGGGTTGTGCAGAATGCTGTGGTCTGTGTTCTGAACCACAACCGTCACCTCATCTTGTCTGGGAGGCAGAAAGAGCTGGTGGATTACCTATTTCACTTCCTGACCATCCTCAAGGCCACTGGCTACAAAGGGTAGGTGCGGACACCACACCTGCTTATATTTAGGGCTCATAGCTGTGGGGTCAGGCATGACTGTTGTGGGGACAATGAGTTGAGAGACTAGCAGGCATGGGTAAGGCCTGTGCGTGGAGGCATGGTCTCCATGGCCCAGGGTACTCACAGCTGCTTCTCTGCCCTCTGGTGGCTCTGCTCCAACACTGCCCTCTGGTGGCTCTGCTCCAAGCCGAGGCCCACACACTGGCACTCTGTGAAGCGGCTCAGTGGTCATCCCACCTTGGGCTTGGGCTGGGGCTGGGGAAAGGGTGGGAATTTCATGACTGTTTCTTATCCAGACTAATGAGACCTTAGATTAATGTTTCCCCAGCAGAAATTTCAAGTCTGAAGGCATCACATTAGGCTACAAAGTGAGTTCCAGGCTGGCCAGGGCAACATAGCGAGACCCTATCAAGAAGGAAAGAAAAAAAGAAAGGGAGGGAGGGAGGAAGGAGAAGCAAGCTAGTACTTAGTGTCCCTCACCCATGGTCTTTGTTAAACTACAACCATCCTCTCATCTTGACTGGGAGACTGAAGGAGCTGGTCTGGCTCTGTGAGCTTCCACATGGGGCTAAGCTGTGTCCTACCCTGACTGTCACAGCTCTCATGTCACACCCTCCAGGGACCCTGTCATGCTGGTCATGCTCTGTGATGCCCTGGCTCGGGGCCTGATCATCAGCTGGATTCCCACCCAGACACCCGAAAAGTCAAAAAGGAATGTGCGCCCCAACTTGGTTCATATTCCCATGGAGTCCTCTGCCTCATCGGATATCAGAGCGGCCGTGGAGGTACCCTGCCCTGCAGCCCAGGGGTGGGCCACGGGGGAAGGCTAAAGGGAGGATGGCTCAGGGACCCCTCTTACATCTGCCTTGTGATGAAGACATGCTTGATTTAGGTCTGTGAGTTCGCACTGAGCCTCACCAATGGGAATGTGCCAGAGGACATGGTCCACACCAGTGTGCGACAACGTCTTATTGCCACCTGGGTAAAGGCCAAGCAGCTATTGCAGCATCAGATTGGGCATCGACTGGGCACTGATGAACAGGTGGGTGCTGAAGGCACCCTGAGGGGTTAGGACCCACAGACTGCCTTTCCTCATTGAGCTGTGGTCAGAAGCGTGGCCACAGTCGTTGGAAAGGGGATCTTTCCACCTAGTAAGGCCTGAGGTTCTCTACCATCACTACAACTGCCACTCTTGAGAGCCAAGGCAAAACGTCTCCAGCAGGTCTGAGCTCTGGGTCTCTCTCTCACTGCCACTCATCAGCAGGGCCATTGCTTTGACAGGCACCAGCACGCCCCCAACACAGCACCCATGAGAGCAGGGTCTGGGAAGGAAGAAGGGAATATGAACTCAAGAACTGCCACCATGACCCTGACCCTGCAGCAAGTAAATCACTGTGAGGAGCCGGAGGGAGGGAGCAGGGGACGGCCCAGGAGGGACATTTATACTGGGCCAGACAGAAGGGGTTAATGGGACATTCCCATACCAGCAACCTCCTTATCAGGGCTCAGCAATCTTCTCCCTCTAGAAAGCCCTCCTTAGTGGCCAGACACACTGTCTTCAAGGCTCATGAATACACAGACTTCATACCTTGTTGCCTAAGAAGATAGCGTAGAAGTTGATTATTACCAAAAAGCCTAAGATATTAACATTCCAAATAACTGGGGTCTGGCTCTCCCTTGAGACTAATGCTACACAGGATTATCTCAAAACTGGTTCAGTTTTCCACATCTTTCCTTCCCTGTTTCCCGGGGGCAATTGGACACTCTAGCCCTTCTATCCCTCCAGAGTACCAATGAGGGCATCAACTCTAAAACCAGAGTCCTTGTTGCCGTTGAGATGTACTCATGCAATGGATTGGGTCTCATGGACTTCACTGTTCCCCCCCTAGCCCAGGTGGGTGTCCCCAGGTATCCCAAGAGGTAAGTCAACAGCTCCCATCCAGGAAAGATGAGGAAGCTGTGGCTTGGGGTCCTGCCCAGGTCAATCAGAGCTCAAACCCACATCCACACTACAGCTCCCCCTGCCTCCTGACAACTGCCTTCTCTCAAAGTACACATGTCTGGCTTTGGCACGGAACTGTCCTTTATGGAAGATGCCAAGTGGGCCTGTCTGTGCCCTACTTCATCCCAAAACTTCAGCACAGGCAGAGGTGTAGAAGGGGCCAGGCATGCCTTAAGTGGTGGGAAAGTCACACGAATGGAGCTGCTGGGACCAGTGGCTTCACCGATCGGTGGTCTGTCTAGAACTGCATGTGCTCAGTAATTCATGGACGGCATGCATGCTAAGCCATGCGCATGGTCATTGTTGAGGGCCACAGACTACTACAAAGTCATTGTCACTAATGTGGTGTCCTTGTCCCCGCTTCACATGCTGGGAAGGTGGTGAGAATGGCCTCTGAGTGCAACTGGTCAGAACCCCTGGTAGAGCTGCAGATCCTGTCGCGCCTTGCCTACTTCGCCTATGTGGCCCACGACCATGAGATCACTATGGCATGTTCGCAGAATGCCACACAGATGGGCCTCAAGAACCTGCGGTCATTTGACGAGTAAGTGACCTCCATGATGGTGTCCTAGAGTGTCATACAGTAACATAAGCAGTGTGTGGAGTGTGTCCCATGCCACAGAGCAGGGGCTAGAGGTGCAGCCCTCCTGAGCAAGGGATGGCTGGTAGGACTCTGACTGCCATGACCCTTCATCTGCTTGTCTGTGTGTGCTACAGGACAACACAGTGAACAGGGTCGTGAAGCTGTGTGTTAATGGCGACTCAAAAGACACACAGGCCTCAGTGAGGAGGTCTGTGCAACAGCTATCTGTGTGTGACAGGTAGGAGAGGATGGTTCTCTTAGGTGACACTGCTGTGATAAAATACCACAGCTGGGGAAGCCCACTAAATGGGATTTTATTGTTCATGGCATAGACCCTGGATGTTCAAGTTCAGGGCATGGCAGTTGGTGGCTACTGAATGTCACTGCCTAGTTCACATGGTAAACTAGGTCGCTTCACATGGTGGAAGAAGAAAGAAGCACCTTTATATTCCTTTATGGGACACGATTCCATCCTGAGACTTCAACCCTACCCTTCATTGCCTTCATCTCCCAATAGCCCTTCTACTACTGCCCTGCCCCCCCCCCCATTGAATCAGACTTCAGTATGTGACTTTAGGGAACATATGTAGTTCTCAGATCAACCATGTTCCAATCCTGGTACAGACAGTTTTGCCCAAGTTATTTTGGAAGAGACAAGATGCATGACACTGAGATATAATAGCAATGCCCCTGAACAGACCATCACCTGGCTTGCTGTATGGGAGACAGCTTCTCTTTCAGGTCTCCCATGGCAACTGCTGGAGATTGCCAGTCGCCAAGTGTATTAGTGTATTTTTTTTCTCATTGCCCTGAACTGATGAGAAGCAATCCAAGGGAGGAAAGGGTTACTTTGGCTCTTGGTTTCAAGGTACAATCTATTATGAAGGGAAGGCGTGGCATCAGGCTGCTAAAAGGCAGTTGAAGTGTGCAGCTGGAATCCCTCACCACATGTTTTGTTTGGCAGAACAGGAAGCAGGGAGCAGATAGAGAGTAAGGCCAGGCCGCAAAAACTTCGTGGCCTGTCCTTCGAGACTGGCTTCCTCTAGCAAGGAAGTGTCACCCCCCTAAAAGTCCTACAACCTTCCACAACAGTGCCTCCAGCTAGGAACCAGTGCAAACACATGAGCAGCCGAGGGACATTTCTCATTCTACCTGTAACACCAGTGAAGCACCAGAACGTGCCATCTTCCTTCATAGTTTCTATGTTCCACTATGTTGACTCATGATCAGAAAACTTAGTCTTTCCTTCTCCCTGAATATGGGGCTGTTGTAAAGGGTGGTGTTGTAACAAATGACCATGCAGCCAAGAGAGTTTTCCTCAGGGCTCTTGTTTTTGGCTTCTTTCCTAAGTCCAATTGCCCTGAAATAGAGTCATGATCCAGGGCTATGAAGGTGTTTCCTTTGCCCAGAGACCAAATCCACAGAGTTATTCCCCACACCCATGTCTCCAGCCTTGCTTTATGAGCCCTTGAAGCTCTCCTGTGTTGGCAGGTTTTATGGGCATGGAACATGTGCCCTATGAGGACAAGGTCAAGCATGTGTCTTGCTCACAATGACAGCTCCACGGCTATGTTCATACAGCTGCTGAGAGCTGAGAGTCAGCAGCACCCCATGATCTGTGATGTCTGTAACTGAAGTATTCACATGTCCAGACGATCCTGCACATGCAGGGGCAAAAACATCATCATGTTGATACTGAGGAATAGGGCACTGTTCCTATGTGTTCCCTGAAATACAGGAAATGACACACAAAGTCTTTTCTGCTCAAAAAACAACTGTCTAGGCAAGTCTTTTCCCAGATTCAGCCAGGGTACAGAGACCATCAAAGCTGTGGTGGAAGGGAACCTAACTACATCTCAAGCTAACATCAGAACTTGGCACTGTCCACGCGATGCTAGTTTTGTAGACAGGCAAAATGGAAGAGTGAGAGATTTAACAGAGGCTTTCACCCAGGTTCTAGAAAGCAATTAGGGCCAGATAATGTGTGGCAGGGTCGTGTCTCCTGAGGAGAGATCCTGAGAGGCCATCCCGTGGAATTTGAAGGTGTTGCTTAAACTGAAATAGGAGTCCCAGGGGGTTGGAGATGCCAAGATCACAAGAGCCCACTGAGGAATAGGAGATATCTCCGTTCTGACACATAGGGAATAGGAGATAGCTCCGTTCTGAGCCACATGTGAGTGGCCATGGCCTGGGAACGGGGCTTCAGATCAGATTGCTCTGAACAATGTGCTCCTCCTTGAAAGCAGTTGTATTTTGTTAGTCACAGAACAAAAGAAAATCCTAAATCTATGTATTTCTGAACACACTGGTGGGCCCAATAGGAGGGTAGCAAAGCAAAAAAACTGTTATCTGATGACATCCACTACTTTTGGCTTGGAAGAATAATCCAGGGTCTTTATATTAATACATTGTAAAGGTTTAACTCTAGTTAGGAACATGTTAAGTCAAATACCAAGGTGGCAAATGAATGGCTATTGAGAGGACAGAATAATGTTGACTTTGGATCTGCAGCATTCCAGATCTCCTCAGCCATGATGTTCTAACCAGTCAGCCCTATAGCATCTTTAACACTTTTTTTTTCCCTTTGAAACTTCATTTCACAGGTAGGATGCTATGACTTAAAACAATGTGTTTGGGTGTCAAGTTGACAATAGGTAGGCTTGTAGTGGCTAAATTACTTCAATTGTCAACTTGATTGTATTAAGAAGTACCTAGGACATTAATGAGACAGACCTCTGGGGCTGTCCTTGAGGTTGTTTTCAAAGATGTTTAACTGGAGAGGAAGAATCATCTTGAATGCAGGTGGCACCATCCCATGTGCTGGGGACATAGACAGAGAGGGACAGAAGGAAGCCAGGAGAGCACCAATACTCATCTCTCTCTGCTTTATGATTGTGGGTCAGATCCATGTGGCCAGCTGCCTCCTGCTCCTGCCTTCTCCACCATCACACCTATTGTATGCATTAGTGATGAATTCCGAGTCACCAACCCAAGACATCAGTATCACATTAAAGGGAGACTGAAAAGCACATCCCTCTGGAGTCATTTAACCAAGAGCAAATCCAGATTTGAATTCTCTGCTCCCTGTGTCTTCTGTCCTCTGTCTGTCTGGTGCATGAGTCTGAATCTGTGCCTGTCTAAAGACTGTGTCTGTCTCCCAGTGTCTGGCTGTTCTGTCTCTGTGTGTCTAACAAAGGGCTTCCCTCTGGCTTTACTGAACAGTACAGAAAGCACCACCTGGGGAAGGAATAGGATGCTTTATAGAAATCTTTAACGGAGTTTTATGAGGGATCAGGTCTCTGGTTCCAACTGGCCCAGACAATAGACATCATTGTTTATCAACCAATATCCACAAATGGTGGCTTTCAACCTTCATCATAGGTTTTAAGGTGTGTCTTTCAACCTCTGTATTTGCTTCTTTCAGCAAATGATACACAAGCATTGTCTGAGTCAGGGACAAGGAAGTGTGCATAACTCAAGATTAAGGCTATGCATTAGCTTAGGTTGGAAAAGTTGACTTCATGAAAACTCAAGGCAAGTAAGGTTGGTTGATAAAGTCAGGTTAAAAAAAGTTTGAGTACATAGTAGGACAACAGTCTTAAATCTTAAAGTGACCTCACAGTGGTTAAGTCTGCCTGTGAGGTCCAGCAAAAGGTCCAGTCTCTCAGAATGGAAGAGATATGTTCCTAAGATTGCATCACCACACACCATGATGGGCTATATTCCCTCAAATGTGAACCAAAATAAGCCCTTCCCTCCTTCACTTGTTCTTACCAGGAATTTAGTTACAGTCACGAGAAAAGTGGCCAATGCAGTGTCTTTGGGTGCCCTTGCCTTTGCGGGCAGAGCCTTTACCACTGAACCGTTTCATCTCTTACTTAGATCTGATAGTGAGTTGGAAGGGGCGGTGGGAGGGCAGCGTAGCTGAAGTCCACTTTCCATAGGCTCTGCAGGAAAGATTGACAAGACCCCAAGGTAGGGGCCAGGATGTTGCACCCTGTGGGGCACTGGCAGAGGTGGTCATATTCAATCATGTGCAAAATCCACTTCTATCACTCAAACATTATCCTTAGAAGAAACAAACAAATTGGGAATCTATGCAGAAAGGGTTGCTGTGTGCTGTTTGTGCTACTGTACACAGCCACGACCTGCTTAGGCACAGGAAGAGAGACGGGCACAGCACCAGGACAGGCTAGCACACTCTCCCATCAGTGATACTAAGTCAAATCTAATTTATAAAGGAAATTCCTGTAATAAATAAAGCAAAGATGCCCATGCATACAGGGAACCTGGGGGCAGCCATGCTGAGTGCCTCCCTAGGCCTTCTGAAGATCTTTTATAGACCACTGTTGTCCCCTCCTGGTGACTGCTGTCATTGCACCCTGCAAACTTCAAGGGTCAAAATTCCCAGCCTTCTTTACACCATCCTACAACCAATGAAGGGGGGTTTAATTACCACCCAGCCTCTGTTTACCTTCAGACCACAAGTTCCCACTGGACGGCAGGTCCTTGCAGGCTAAGGGTCAGACGCACCTCTTCTCCACTGGTTCCTTGGAACATACTGTTTGCTCCAGCAAGCAGGTGCCCATCTTCTAGGGCCCCAGGACCCAAAGGAAATGTTCCCAGAACAAGTATATCATTTACAGGATAAAAATCTGTGCTGCAGAGCCAAGCAGCCAGAACATGCCCTCCACCTCCCACCCCACCCCACCCCACTCCACCCCATCCCTGCTCTGCATGTGCCCAGACCTCTGCTGCACCGGGTTTGGGAACCAGGAGAGTGTCTATGGAGCTATGGTGCTGCTCTGATATGGTGCTTCAGGCCTATGTCCCCCTCTGAGCAAAGAGTACAGGATGCCTGGGACAAGACATTCTCCCCAGGAAGCAGAACCTAGCTGAGGACAGACCCAACAGATAGTTGTACTGTCCCACTGATGGATGGAAAGCCACCCCAAACAAGTGGCAAAAAAAAAAAAAAACAGTTAAGGGGTCTGTCTCATGGTTCTGTGGGTTCACTGGGCTCTGCCAATTAGTTCTGGTTTGGGGTCTCTCATAAGGGTTACTGGAGAGCCCATCAGTCAGGCACACATAGAGCTGATTCCCATATCCCCAGAAGTTCTCTGTGGGTGGGCATCTCCAGGAACTGCCATGGGCCTTGCTGTGTAGTATCTCTGTAGATGCCAGCACCGAGAGACCATCCTCTCAGGGAATGCTCAAGACACCCAGGCCAGATGTGACCATCTCAGTTCACTGGCAAGGAATGCCTCAGAAGGTAGAGTCACTTGCCCTGAATCATCTACCAGTTGGGCGAGTCCCTAAGGCACAGGGTTAGGTAGAGATGCACATTCATCTTTGGCTGCACTTGCAGGGCCATGTGAAACTGGGTGAAAGGACAGCATTCTTAATGAGTGGAATCCAGCACGTATTACTTCCCACCTCCCCTAAAATCACTCTGTACCTTCTCCAGGATCGATGCCAAGCTAGCAGCAGAAATTCTGTGTACTGTGGCCAGCATCCAGGGCCGGAGCATCATGGAGAACATGAAGGGTAGGAAGCAGCTACGGCTAGCAGCAGCCAAGGTCTTTGTAGAGAGTGCCAGGTATGCAACTGGGGGATGGTCTGGCAATGTGTGGGGGAAAACTGGTACAGTGCCACAGTGATGCTGTGGGGGTATTGCTGAGTCCCAGGGGAGGAACTGGCTAGTACCAGTAAGCCTCCAACTACATCTTGTCATGCAGCTGAGCTCACAGATACCAGGGCATCCATGGACAGTACTGGAAGAAGCTCAATAGAGCTATTGAGCTAAGTGGTTTGCCAAGGTTGTCTGAAGGATCCCTAAGCATACAGGGGCCTAAGTAGCAAGGGGCAGGTAGACACAGCAAAGGCCAGGCCAGGAGAGCCCATCATTGCCCTGTGATGTGGGCAGCACCTGGCCCAAACAATTTGCTAAGGAGGAGGTATAGCGGGCTTGCCCTTTGATGGTGCCTGCCATGCGGTGCCAAAGCTGTACCATCCTGATTCCACTCCTTCCCTACCAAGTCCAGAAACTTGTAGATTGGATGTACCTAGGGGAAAGGTGTGGCTGAGTAGCCTGAGCAGCCTGCATAATTGGATGAGGCATGTCTTTTCAGGTTCGGGGGCCTGGCAGGCAACAGTACTCTGGTGATGATGGCCGCCCGGCATTTCTGGAACACATGGCTCCCACTTCTGTCCTCACCAGTCAACAGGAAGAAGGCAAAGGGATCCCTCCAGCGAATCATCGGCATCATCAACAAGACAGAGGCCAAGAAGCAGGTGCTATAGGGACACAATCTAGGGTCCTAGGAGGCCTTACCCTCAGGCCTGGCCAGATTCACAGAAAAAGCCAGTCTCGGTGTGGCTCCCCCTGAGTATGACTGCCTCGGGGCATGGCTTGATTGGGATATGGCTCTTCTGTGGCATGATCCCCAACAAGACATGACCCACACTGGGTATGACCTCTACAAGATACCTCCTTCAACTTCTCCTGCTGGATAGCACAGCATTCTCCAGATCCCAGAGAGGTAGGAGGTTCTTGGCCATCCTCAGTGGTGGCCTCTGACCTCCTGTCAAACAGGCCCAGAATTCTCTCCCATTCTCTTTTTGTTTTAAGCAATTTTGAAACAGGGCATTTCCCCTATTCTCAGTTTGGTTTATCCCTTCCCTTTCTGGTTTAGTTTTTTTTTTTAATTCTTTTTCTGTTATCTGGAGAATTAAAGGCAGAGTATTGATTTGAGATCCTCTGTATTGACAGGAATATTCACAGCTGTTAGCTTGTCTCTAAGCATTGCTTTCACTATGTCCCAGAAGTTTTTTTCTTATTTTTTATTCCACTGATTTATCATGCTTCACATCACTGAAAACAACTGTGTTATGTTAAGAAAGTAGTCTGTGTGCTGTATATGTGTATATAATGTTGGGTATGTGATCGGTGTGTATTGTGCTATGAGGTGGTATGTGGGTGGTATATGTTGTATGGTATGAGGTATGTATAGTATGAAGTTTGGGTGTTATGGTGGAGTGTATGTATGGCACAGTGTTTGATGTATACATATGGTATGGTATGTGGTGAGTATAATGTATGCATATATACATATGTGGGTATGTGTGTGTGCAGTGTGTTGGTTAGAATTTGGTATGTGTGGCATGATATTATGTGTGATATCAGTGTGTGTGGTTATGAAGTGTTGTACTATGGTGTAAGATTAACTCAAAAAAAATCAGTAGCTCTCCTATATACAAATGATAAAGAGGCTGAGAAAGAAATCAGAGAAACATCACCCTTTACAATAGTTACAAATAACAGAAAATATCTTGGGGGTCACTCTAGCCAAACAAGTGAAAGACCTATATGTACTATGGTGGGCATGGAATGTGTGTAGTAGGGTGTGTGCACAATGAGGTGTCTTGTGTATAGTATGAGAGTGTGTGGTATGGTGTGGTGTGCTGTGGCATTGTGTATCTACGGTATGGAAGGTTTTTTGTTTTTTGTTTGTTCATTCGTTTGTTTGTTTGTTTGTTTGAGACAGGGTTTCTCTGTGTAGTTTTGGAGGTTCGTTTGTTTGTTTGTTTGTTTGTTTGTTTGAGACAGGGTTTCTCTGTGTAGTTTTGGAGGCTGTCCTGGCACTCACTCTGGAGACCAGGCTGGCCTCGAACTCACAGAGATCCACCTGCCTCTGCCTCCCGAGTGCTGGGATTAAAGGAGTGCGCCACCAACGCCTGACAAAACAACTTCCTCCGGAACAGGGACTTGAACCCTGGACCTTCAGATTAAAAGTCTGATGCTCTACCGACTGAGCTATCCAGGCTCCTGGTATGGAAGGTTTTTGCGTGTATAGTATGCGCATGGTATGGTCTAGGTGTGGTATGGTACATGTATAATACGGTACACAGTGTGTCATGCATGTGTGGTATTGTGTGCATGGGGCACGTATGGTGTATGCGCTGATAACATTGTGTGACTTGATGGTTCTGAAATTTCTGTCTTTTGTTCATTTTTTTTTCCGATACTAATGAGGAACAAGATGGAGGAACGCATCAGTCCCCTCCAAGTGTGCCATTTGTTTGTTTCACTTAAGGATACAGAGAAAACACTGCTTCTGCACCAGTGGCCAACAGCTGACTTCCAGGGTGGAGGGACAGCACCCGAAGGCCAATTCCTTCCAGGTTGGTAGCTGTGGGTCCAGTGGCAAAGGTAGAGTTCTGGAAGTTTGAACATTCCATGTTGTACATCCTGTGTCCTTACATGAGGCATTGCAGCCATGACTGTGTCCCCGAGTCTGCTTAAGATCCTATGGAAGCCCATTTTGCAGAGAGAATACCCAGGATCCTCCATCCTACCAAAGTGGAGAGCCTTCACAGTCAGCCCTTTGCTGTGCTGCTAGACAAGTCATCTCTTCGTTGTTGTTCTCCTCCTCTCCCTCCTCCCCCTCCTCCTCCTCCCCCTCCCCCTCCTCCTCCTTCTCCTCTTCCTCCTCCTCCTCCTTCTCCTTCTTCTCCTCCTCCTCCTCCTCCTTCTCCTCCTCCTCCTCTTTTTGGTTTTTTTAAAGACAGGGTTTCCCTGTGTAGTCCTGACTGTCCTGGCACTTGCTCTGTAGATCACGCTGTCCTCAAACTCACAGAGACCCACCTGCCTCTGCCTCCCGAGTGCTGGCATTAAAGGTAGGTGCCCAGCTTCATGTCATCTTAATCTTATTTTCTACCATAAAACATTTGGAGATGCATCCTCAGCAAAATGAGGGAACACCCTGACCACAGCCCAGAAGAGCTCTGCTCAGTATCATTTCGAGTTTCTGAAAAGAGTACATTTTCTTCTCATGATAAGATTCTCTGCCACTGGGCAGAGGTGGTGCACAACTTTAATCCCGGTACTTGGGAGGTAGAAGCAGGCAAATTGCTTTGAGTTCGAGGCCATCCTGGTCTACATAGTGAGTTCTAGGTCAGCCAGAGCTACACACAAACAACAAAACCACCTTCTCTAGATGAAAAGCATCAGAAGGTAGAATCAGGCAAGCAGAAATTCTGTAGAATGAGGCACACTCTCAAACAGACAGAAAAAAACTTTTACAACGGATAAGAAAGGCAGAAAATTAATAACAACGTGGGAAATGCTCATACCCAACGTGGCAGCTGCGGGAGGTCAAAGACCCACCAACTACCAGTGCCAGTCAGATGAGGATGGTGCTCTGGCTCGGGGCTCAGCTCTCCCAAGCCTTCCTCCCTTTCCCCAGTGTGCATGCTGAGGCTTGAAACTGAGCTTCCATGTAAGGACAATACTGAAAGGAAGTCCACTGTCCTTGCTGCTGGATGGCTGGGAGGTTTGACAAGCAGGGTCTCTGCCCTAAGTCTCTTACCCATTGACTGGCGAAGCATCAGGCAGACAGGGGGTGTGTACATGGTACACTTCAATACACCAAACAAGGAGCCAAGAACCAAAAGTGGAGTCTGGGCTTCTATGTAGTATTAAGAATGTGCACGCATCAACGGGGCTGTGGTGGCACACGCCTTCAGAACCAGCACTCGGGAGGCAGAGTCAGGCAGATCTGTGTGAGTTCCAGGACAAGCTATAAAGCTACAGAGAAACCCTGTCTCAAGAAAGAAGAAGAAGAGGAGGAGGAGGAGGAAGAGGAGGAGGAGGAGGAAGAGGAAGAGGAAGAGGGGAGGAAGAAGAGGGAGAGGGGGAGGAGGAGGAGGAAGAGGAAGAGGAAGAGGAAAGAATGAGCATGCACATAAACATCCCTTCCATTCCAGTGCTGGCAGGTTCAGAGAACGAGCTCAGATAATAAAGGAACTATGAAGTCCCCAAGTGCCCAAGGTTAGCCAGTTTTTCCAGCCCACCTTGAGTTAGGGGAAAACCAGCCATGCCGCCAACCTGAGCAGTGCCTCAGCCAGCATCTGACAAGAGCATGGGCGTGGTCAATGCTTGCCCCAGCACCACTGTGCTAGAACACTCGGCATGAGAACCATGACAGAAGCAAAGGAAGCACCCTCCTGACCCTCCTTCACGCTCAGTGCCAGGGTTGGTGCTGGGGATGCGTGACAAATTTGGTGGCCAGGCCTGCAGCTTTCCCTGAATGTGACTGGGAACATGTAACATACAGAAGGAAGAGAGGGCTCCCACGTCCTCACCCACCGTCAGGTCATGTTTACATTTAGATTAAAAGAAAAGTAACAGGCTTTTTTAGAAGAGAGAGGTCGTGGGTACTCAGAAAACCTGGCACTCTGGCCCTTGGTCTATGTGCTGGGCAACGAAGACACTCCATGAGAGTTGGAGGGAGCTCCTTGGAGACCAGAGGGGCCACTTGGAGCTGGTTCCTTCAGATAGAAGAGTGCCTGAGCTATGGGTCGCTGCAGGCGAGGGCCACACTGACCTACCACCAACCCTATAGGGCCACTTCTAGTCTTCTGACACATACCTGCATATGAATGGAAGACTGTGACATGGGTTGTGAGGCAGTAGGGGTGTGGAGTAAGAGGTCAGAAAGCATCACGTCAGTTGGCAAGGGGCTGGCTGCCCAGTCCCCTTGAGACTCCATCTCTTCTTTACCCCAGGGTCTGAGGATGACCTCACACTCCGTGCTGCACTCTATAGCGTGCTCTTCTACACCCATGCTGACCAGAAAGACTGGGAGGCGGGCCTTAAGGTGCTGGATGAGGCTGTGCAAGTGCTGCCAAGGACAGCCCACCGCCTGTGAGTGCCCTTACCCTAAGCACCCCAGGATGCCCTCTTCACTCCTCAGCTGGGCCTCCCCGTGGTCCCTTTCCACTGAAGCACTTCATCTCCCCAGGAAAAACCAAATATATAGCACGAAAATCCCAGCTAAGTCCCTATCTGGTCCCCTCCCTGCCAACAGGAACACAGGCAGCTGTAGTTTGGTATGTCACATGTACGCTTAATGTTTTGTCATCTCAGCTGACCCGTCTTTTCCTATTTTTGGGGGGAGGGTTTCTTTTTTATTTATTCCTTAGTTACTGCTTATAGTTACATATCCATCCCCCCCATTCCCTTGCCCTCCCATCCTCCCATGTTCCCCACCAACCTCCCCCCCAACCCACTCCCTTTTCCTATTCTTTAGCTTGATTTTCAAACATATGGTCATTGTGAAGGCCAAACTTGGCCAGAACTTTACCATGGAAATTCAGAAGTTCAAGGATGAGAGCGAAGACTATTTGGCCCACATGTGGTACCGTCTGGCCCAGAACTCGAGGAGCGTCTCTGGAGAGCTCACCTGTTTTCAGAATGCTATCCAGGCACTGCAGGTTTGTGTGGTGTCCATGGCAGTGATGGCAGGCAGATTTGTCTCTTGGCTACAGAGAGAATCATATGAAAAGCTTCCGAATTAAGGACTTAATGGGTCAGCTCAGAGGAAGCCACTGTGCAGCAAGCCCTGGCTGAGGGGAGAGAATCCCTTCTGCTGATTCCCCCCTTAGTCACCCATCTTGAAAAGGAGAGAGTTGGGAGAGCCCTGGGGTAAATGCCGGCCTTCCTGGAACCTGGGACTGCAGAGCAAGCAGGGCTCTGCATGCAGCAGGCTGGGACAGGCAGGTCTTGTTGTCCCCACTACCAAAAGGCCAAAACAGACATTCCATTACAAGCACTTAAGTGGGAGGGTGCTCTGACTTCTGATTTGATAACAATGGTTCTCATGAATGAAGCCCACATGGGGGCTCCCTGGGGTCATAGTACAGGACCAGTTGGTGTCCTGGGCCTCTGAATGGAAATGTCTGAACTGTGAGAAACCACCTTGGCAGGCTGGTCAGTTTTACGTCCTTAGCATACCCTAAGGTCCTGGGTGCCAAGGACCAGGGCAACTCTCAACAAGAGAACTAGGTCCATCTCAGGGCCCAGGCTGTGGCTTCAGAGACATGACACTAATGCATGTGGTTAAGGGGAGTCCTGCAATTTGCTTCTGGAGACCAAGTAACTGGTCATCCTGAAGTCTCCCTGCTGGGTTTCAGGGTCAGGCAGTATTGGGCATCTCAATGAGGAAGCTGGACAGGCAGCCCCCTGGGAAGGGGAAGCCACCAGGCTGGCCTAGAGGAAGGGTAGAGGGCTCAACACATTCAGATGGACACTGAAGGTATATCTGTCCTCAGTGCCCTTGACTCTCATCCTTGAAATTTGTTTTTATTTATTATTTAAATGTACTTGTGTATAAAATATGTGTGAGGTGTGTATATATGTGTATGTGTGTTCATGTGTGCAAGCATGAGCATGCACATGCTATGGCATGCCCGCGGAGGTCAGAGGACAACCTCATGTGTGAGTCTTCACCATGTACCTTGTTTGAGGCAGCATCTGTTCTCCACTGTGTGTACCAGGCCAAGGTAGGTGACCCACAAGCTCCTGAGCTTTCTCCTGGCTTGGCCTCCCATCTTGCTGTAGGTGGACTGGTATTATAAATGCACACTGTCACATCCAGATTTTATGTGGGTTCTGGGGACTCAAACCCTGGTCCTCACATTTGCACAATAAGCATTTTATCCACTGAGCCATCTTCCCAGCCCCTTGTATTCTTTTTCTTCTTTCCTCCCCTCTCTCCCTCCCTTTTTCCCTCCTTTCCTCCCTCCCTCTCTCTTTCCTTCCTTCCTCTTTCTTTCTTTCTTTCTTTCTTTCTTTTTTTTCTTTCTTTCTTCTTTCTTCTCCCCCCTCCCTTCCTCCCTTTCTGTAGTTAATTCTCAAGGCTTTTTGCCACAACCTTTTTTAGAGTATTTCATCACCATGCCCACCCCAAAATTGTGTCCCTTAGCATTCACTCTCTTCCCCAACCCCTCCTACAGCCAGGGATCACTGACCCAGTGTGCTGCTCCAGACCTTTCCCAGAGTAAAATCAGACACACCATGTAGCTGTCATATTTAGCTTCTTCCACTAAACATGGTCTCATCCTCTGGCAGCCACATTGTATTGTGTGACTGTCTTGAGTTCTTTCTTGTGACTAAGCAATACTCCTTAGACCCATACACTTGTCTCCTTAGTTGTTTGTTAGGCTCTTAAATTGTTTCTCGTATCATTTAGCCCTTGTGAGTAGGGATTTCGTGGACTTGCATGCATAGTTTTTTTTTTTTTGTTTTTTTTTTTGTTTTTTTTTTGTGAACCTATGTTCTTGGTTCCCTTGGGAATGTATGCAGGAGTGGAATTGATGAGTCACACAGTGGCTCTGTGTTTAGCTAAAGAAGAGCCACCAGAAGCTGGGCATTGGTGGCGCATGCCTTTAATCCCAGCACTCAGGAGGCAGAGTCAGGCAGATCTCTGAGTTCGAGGCGAGCCTGGCCTCCAGAGCGAGTGCCAGGATAGGCTCCAAAGCTCCACAGAGAAACCCTGCAAGAGCCACCAGGCTGTGCCCTCGATGGCTGAACCTTTTCTAAGTATTGCTTGTAGCACATAGTTTTTAATTATGTTGAGGTTGATGTCTATTTCATCTTTTGTCACTTATTTTACCATATTATACCAGAGAGACTATTTTGATCCAAGGTCAGGACGATACATCCTTTGTTTTCGTCTAAGAATTCTGTGGCTACAGACTGTCTATACAGGTGACAGTCCATTCTGAGTTTTTTTGTGTGGGTGTGTGTGTGGGTGTGGGGGTGTGGGGGGGGACAGGGGGCAGGTCAGCCTCATTCTTTAGCTGTAGAGTCTCCACTCGGCCTTATACCTTTTGATAAGAGGATTATCCTTTCCCTCCTTAACTCCTCTTTTGAGGAACCCTTATTTCCCCGTGTTTACACAGCTTTTGTCTAAGTCACAGCTCCCATGGCACATTCTGGACTCCTTCTTACCTCCCTAATATGCCTGCTCTCTCCTCCATTGGGATTCAGGTTCCACTGGGTGAAATTCATACCCTACCTGCCCCCCAAAGCTCTGTGGCACTTTGTCCTCCCAGGGGTTTTGTTCTCTTTCCTCTTGAGACCTATCCCTGCTGCCAACAGCACCTCTGTGTAGATTGCTGTATCCCACTTGAGACCATCACCTAACCTGCAACACTTGTTTGGGTTTGGTTTTCTTGTTTGAGCCCCTTTGCAGGGGCGATCACAGACTAGCCTCTCACAGGTACTCATTTCACAGGCAAGCACTCAGAAAAGCTACAGAGTCAGCAACAGAGGCTAGAGGGCCATGAACCTGGGTCCTGAAAAGTGTGGGGGTGATGACTTGAGGCTGGGCCAAGGAAGAGAGGTGGAAAGGAGGGGTGTGTGCAGCAGGTCAGCACACTAAAGCTGGCCTGCATGTTTTCAGTGATCATAGGCCAAGTGTGTGCCATGCCATACGTTCAGCTCTTGTTTCCCTGACAAACCCTCCCACAAGCCCACAATGAGCCATGGAAGCTGTTGATAGTTTAGGGAAAAGCTGTGCATGCATGAGGAGGGAGGTATGGGGCCCTCAGTAGAGGACCTAACCCCAGAAGCACCTATCCAAGGCTTCAGATTAGCCAGACTGCCTCGCAGGGAGCCCTGCTCAGCATCTTCTGTGTTTTAATAGAGACTTAGAGTAGTGTTAGGAAATATGGGGGCCAGTAGGACAGGTAGGGCACACTTAAAACAGGTGCAGATGATCTGGGGGACTTGACCAAATTCTTGTTTTCCTACCATATGTCTGTCCCCAACTGGAGCCCTCAGGCAATCTTGGTGGCAAAACCCATCTTCCTGGAGTGGGGCGGTGTCCATGGTAAATTCTAGGGTGACATGAACCATCAAGTCTTTTGCTAATTAATGGAACATTGACCTGATTAGTGTCATATGCTTTTCTGTCTTGTCCCAAAGAAGCCAGAGAGCAACTGGCAGAAGGTCGATTACATCATTGAGTTCAGTCAGTGGATGTATTACAACCAGTTCCCTATGGAAGAGGTGATTTTTCACCTCGATTGGGCAATCGAAATCCTGCTATCCATGAAACCCACTGAAGACTCCCCTGAGCCAGAGCCCAATAAGGAAGGTGAGAGTGACCATGCTGGCTTCTGCTGACCCCACACACTGTAGACCCTAACTGGGTCCAGGATGGCAGGACATAGGGGGACTGTTACTGGGCTGCCAATGTCCTCTGGTACAGGCATACCTTCCTTTTTGGCTTACAACAGTTAGGAGTGGTAAAAAGATACAGAGTGAAAATGTTCCAGAACTTGTGTGAAGGAATAGCTGTCCACTCAGCATTTAACCCATGCAGCTGAATACAGCAGGTGAAACTAGCTAGGAACAGAACAGAGCAGGCCAGCCTATGGCCTATTCTGACTGGTGTAAAGGTGTCAGGACACCACCTGGGCTTCTGCATGGGTACAAAGTCTAAGGCCAGCAGCCCTTTGCTTCCCAGGAATTGGGTCTCCTTGACTCCCAGACTCAGAGAGAAAAGTCTGGAACACAGGAAAGGCTGCATAGAAGGTATCCCTGCTGGAGAAACTCCAGTCTGGGGCAGGCAGCAGCACAATGCTAGGTGCCTAGGAACAGACAGGTGGCTGGGTCAGCATCTCAGGTCAGCATCTCAGTTCAGAAGGGGAGATACCAATGGCCAGGGGAGAGGGGACCTGCAGGAGCCTAAGCCTTTTCATGGCCCCACACTCACTCTCCACCATGCTGTCCAGGGCAGGCCTCCTCTCCCCAGTCTCTCACAGGGAGTGCAATGTCCTTGGATCTGGAGACAATCTCCTTGGACCAGTTTCGAAGTGTGAGGCAGTTGGAGGCCCTGGCCCGGGTGCATATCCTTCGGGCCTTGATGGTGTCCCGAAGCTCCTCTTCCTATGAAGATGACTGCTTCATGGCCTACAGCTTCCTCAGGCACATCTGGCAGGTGAGAGCAGGCTGGAGATGTAATGCCAAACAGTGAAGGTCCCCACCAACCCCATCCTCCTACCCCTGGGAGAAGACTCTGAAGGGCTTTTTGTGCCATCTTCTGCAGACAACCACAATAGCATGTTTCAAAGAAGTCAGAGCCTTCCCAGATGCTCTGCAAAGGCCTTTGAGAAGCACGCAGACTTTTCCCCCCTGCATCTCTCTTGGCCCTGCCACGCTCCTGTTCTTGAGGCTCCTTGAGGAGGATGCTCCCCAACCCCTGCTCTCCATCACCACAAAAACCTGTAGGTCTGGGTCACTGACCAGGCTTGCTCTGTGCTATGGAGGCTCCTGGGTTTGACCATGGCTGAGCAGCACCCTCAGATCTGAGAGCTACCTTCCACCAAGGGGCAGAAAGGGGCGATACAGGCTCTACTTTTCATGCTTCTAATTTTTATTTCCTCCCCTCCCCCCCCCAGATTTCCTTGATATCAGGAGGAAAACTACTTACAGAAAAAACTTTACAAGTAGTTAGTTCACAGTTGTCACTGCCGAGAAGGGAGAAGGAAAGGGGGAAAGAGAAGGAGAAGGAAGATTTCCTTGATATCAGGAGGAAAACTACTTACGGAAAAAACTTTACAAGTAGTTAGTTCACAATTGTCACTGCCGAGAAGGGAGAAGGAAAGGGGGAAAGAGAAGGAGAAGGAAAGGGGGAAAGAGAAGGAGAAGGATAAAGACAAGGAGAAGAAGGAGGAGAAGGTCAAAGACATGAGACAGGTGAGTGGCCCATATGGTGTACCCTTGCCTGAGGTGGGAGGCAGAGGGTAATGGTCATGGAGCCTGAACCCCAACTCCATCGCATTCACGTTGAGAGTCTTACAATCATCCCATGCCTCAGTTTCCCCTTCTATAAGACATGCTATTCCCGGAGGGTACAATCATCCCATGCCTCAGTTTCCCCTTCTATAAGACATGCTATTCCCCATCCTGGGCCACAGCCTCCAAACAGTGTGCCAGAGGCTAGCAGCCTGTCCTCACCACAGGGAATGTTGGTTTCAGGACTCCACGTTTTACAGTAAACCTTGCTTTCTCTCATGCACAGATTTCAACCCCAGCTTCCAACAAGCCATCTGATGACATCCCCACCAGCATGGAAGAGTGGGCCTCCTACTCCTGCCCTGAGGATCTGTTGTCTGTGTTCAAGCAAGACAGGAGTGACTCCACGGTTAACGCATCAAGTTTCCAGAAGCCGGTGAGTGGATCTGAGCAGCCAGCCCAGGCTTTGCCAAGGGGCTGGCAAACCCAGCCTCCTTCCCTTAAAGCTACAGCTGGCATTTTCTACTGCAGATACTACCAAAGAGGGACCCATGAGACAGAAGTTTCACAGTGGGCATCAAAAGGGAGCATCTTCCCTACTTTAGCACCCATAGCTACAAAGCTCCCTCCGGTCTATACCCTCTTTCTTTCAAATAGCTGCCAATGTCTATGAGAAGCCCCGCCCTGCTGCATCCATACTCAGGTCTACATACTGAGACTTGGCACCACTTCTGCCTGCTGTCATAGCTCCACAACATAGGCAGCTATGACCACAAGAATCACAGTATCAGCAGGGACTTGGTCCCTCTGGATGCTTCACCCCACCCCATCTCCACCACCAAGGCCACACAATCTCTCCTCTCTAGCAAATCCAGCTCTTATACAGACCTCCAAGATTAAAAACTCAGGGATAATCCGTGGCCAGAGCCTCACCCTGATCATAGAATATAATCCCTTTTGATGCAGTCACACTCAGAAGTTCCATGTGTTAGAACTCCATGTTCTTGGGGGTCCACAGTCCAGCTCACCTTCTTCTGCCTGGCTGGGGCTTCACAGGGGTGGAATTGTTTGGCATATTACTCCTGGTCATTAGTTTGGTAGGGTTCACCCATGCTGTTTGGGCATGACTATTTTACTCCCTTTCAATGCTTCAGAGTCAACTTCAGTGAACAGGCATTGGTGTGCCTGCCCACTCCCCTGCTAATGGACACAGTTTTCCAGATTCTTACAAATGAAGCATCTGTGAATGCTGGTGCCCACGTTTCTGGACCACAGTGTGGGAAACTTTCCAATGATGATGAGCAATTACCAATTGTCAAATCGCATCCCAAGGATGCTGTGCTGACTTCCATCCCAGTCCCTGGTGGTGGGGGAGCTCCTGCTGCCCAAATCCTTGCCAGCCTGTGCTAGTGTGCATGCGATGCCATCTCCCAGGGCTCTACATCAGTGCTGGGTGTCCTGTCAGATGGCACTAACCCTTCCTCTTTTGTGATGCATCTGTCCAGCATATCTCCATAACTTAGCGAAATTTCTTTATTTCTTATGGAACTGAAAAAAATCACAGGCCTGTTCTGAGAGGGACACAGCTAGTCCTTATACACTTTCCTCCCATGGTAGGGTCTTCTGTGTAGAAATGTAATATTCATTCCTAGGAAAATTAGGAATCTTTTCCTCTGTGATGGGTGTTTCCTTCTGTCCTTTCTTAAAAACACTGCTTCCTTTTTTGAGGTCAGAGACAGTATCCTCCAGTATTCTCCCCCAAGGTACAAGTAGTCTTCACCTGTATAGCCTAGTGTCTAATTTGGATCTAGTCTACCATACATGAGCTGTGTGTACAGGGGTCAGAGACCACCCAGCCTTGACACTAATCCTAGGGAGTGTGCCCACAGGCCAGGCCACATCTCTGAAACACATCTTCCTCCAGATCTTATCCCTGTGCTTTTCTATCCACTATCCAGTTACCAGAAAATCATGTTTAATATCTCATCTAATGTCTCCAACATCCCATATAACAAGCCCTACACCATAGGAGACACTAGCTCTTTTTTTTTCTTCTAGATACCCAGTAGTATAGGAATCATCAGTTTTTATTAGAATAAAAAAACTAAACGGAATATGAAATTAATGAATTAATGGATGAATCTCTTGTGTGGATCTTTAACCATGCTCTGGTGTGCACAGCCACAGCATTGTATATGACAAAGCAAAACCTGTAATGACAGACAGGGAAGAGGGCACCCCACAAACTTGTTCAACACTTGCTGAGTGCGGGGCACTGTGCCAGGCAAATCTGGGTGTCATTGGCTAACTTTACTTGCTGCTGTGACCAAAATACCAAAGCACCTTAAAGGAGAAAAAACTTATTTGGGCTCACAGTTTGAGGGTATAGTCTATTCGGGTGGGAAACCACCGCAGCAGGAACTTGAGGCAGTTTATCACAATCCATCAGTGTTTAGGAAGCAAAGAGCAATGAATGGCCACACTGAGTTAGCCTCCTGCTCATTATGCAGTCCAAGACCATATTTAGTGTGGGTCTCCTCACCTCAATTAACCTAATCAAGATAACCCTTTACAAAAGAAACCCAGAGTCTCTAATCTACTCTAGATAATCTCTCATTGGCATGCCCAGACTTGTCTCCTAGGTGACTCTATCACGACAAGTTGACAATCAGTGTTAACCATCGCCTTAGGGGACTAGTGACCACACCTGTTTGCTATGTGTTCATGCAGACATACACCTTGTACTACATAGACCATTTGGTCAAAGCCCTGCAAACGATGTACCTTCATGAGCTCAGCATCCCCATCCTGCAGCTGGCCGTGCTCATTGCAGATGTTGTGGTGGAGAGCAAGAGCCTTGCAGACCTCTACCACCTGCGGTTGGTATCACTCCTTTACCTGAACTGGTGAGAATGAAAGTGTGTCCAAAACAATATAAAACCAAACAGCACCTTGGATATTAATTCTGTAGCTGATTGTGTAAATAATAAATCCCCAAGACAGCCAGACAATGGAATGGTATCTTTATTGTAAAACTTTACCTGATCCTTAGAGAATACCTGGCTTTGAGGACACTCCTACTGTGATAGTTAAGGATCAAGGGATGCTATACTTCCAATCAAGGGGCTAAGAGAAGGAGAAGTGGAGGAGACAGTGATAAAGAGAACATGGTGACACTCGGGGGAGGAGGAGGAGGACACAGATAATGCTGGAGTGTGTTTGCAGGATTGTCCAAATGAAGTGCTTTAAGCAAAGCCTCAGTTGAGTTGTCTTCTGGAGGTTATGGCAGGATTTGGCAGAGCCCATCTGGGCACCTGACTGTAGGCCTCTGACGGTGTCCCAAAACATAGACATAGTGAGTAAAATATATAAGTGAATGACAGAGAAAATGTCACCTGACATTTCATAGAACCACCTAGCATGTTTAGCTTTAAAAAATTGAAACACTAAAGTTCATTTCTTTTAGTTTAACAGCTCTGATTAAGCCCCCCAAACCCAGCACCACTTCCTTTGGAGAAGAAAGCTTCCTGTGTGACAGTACCCCTTCCCTCCCTGCCTTTCCCCTCAGACTTTTACAGGTGTGTTCTGACCTGAGATTGCACTATGCAGCAACTTATCACGAGGAGGTGGTTGGACAGACATACATTGGGGACATGGAGCAGGCCAGGTATGTGCAGTGCTTGCTCCTAGGTGCGGGACTCCTCTTTCCAGTGATGTATAATCTGTTAAGGACAGCGCTAAAGAAACCCTAGCCCTAGGCTGTGGCTCCTTTCAGTACCAGCCCATTATGGCTTCTGGATCCCCAGTCTGGGCTTGGAGGCCCTGGGGGCAATTTCTAGGAAGCAGTACCTGGGAGGGCAGAGCATAGAGAAATGTGTGAGTGTCCTTCATGGTTTTCATGACAGGTTTGGGGACTGCTGAGCTGTGAGTGCTCAGCAGGGAGAAGGGAAGGAGGGTCTCCAGGACAGGATGGGTGCCAGGAATGATGATTCTGAGTAAGGCACATATTTGTTTCTGGGTTTTGGGGTTACTTTGAAGCACTTGTGATTGGCTGATAGTGGGCTGTCCAACAGCTAAACTTGCCAATTACAGAGTCTGTAGCAATCCTTTTCAGACTTAGAGACCACCTAAGAATATATAAGAATGTATACGTAGTCATATGGTTGTTAACTGTTGCAACATGGCTCTCCCCCCATGTAAATTTTATGATCGTTGTGCAAATTTTAGAAAACAAGCAAGGAAGAGAATAAATGTCCCTGCAGGTCCCATCTCTGAGGTTTTGCCATGGCACACTGGATCAGTTATGAAAATGTAATTGTGCTGTATACAATTTTTCACTTTCAGCCTTTGGCAACAAATATCTGTCGACAAAATCATTTTCATGTTGTTAGCACATCTGTGCATCCCTGGACTGACTGGGAGAGTGTTTGCTGAGTCTTCCCTGCCCTCAGATGGGGTTGAGAAATGCAGTTGCCAAGCCTGGGAGAGGCTCCTGCCTCTTCCTGTTCTTGGGTTCACTTTGAGCACCTGCTGTGCAGTGTGGGAGGCACTGCAGGTGGGCTGAGGAGGAAGAAATATGACCAAGACTGACAGGAAGGGTTGGTACTAATGGTGATACCAGGACTGGTGATACAGAGAGGCCTCAGTTCTAAGTTTATGCAGTCAGGGAGTACTGGGCAGTTGGATGAGCAAGACTTTTGGGGAATCTGTGAAGAGACATCATTGGGGTGGAAGTGTTGAATACCCTGATGGGAAGAATCCTTGCGTGACTGAGAATCTGGCCTGACTGTGTTGAGTGCTGTGATGCATTGGCCTACTTCCCAATGAACTACTCTGGATATAGTATGGCGGGTGACACAGGTCTGGGGTAGGTAGCAAAAGTGAAGAAGCATCGTGGGTGTACGGGCCACCTTGCCTTCTCTATGGGAAACCCTGAGCACTAAGTGGTTTTACCCTTTTGGAGGGGTTCCAGAGGCACATCTGCCCTACACACATTAAGACTGAGAAGCTCGTTAAACTACACATGAGCTCGTCAGACAGTTGCAGAGAGAACAGGTGCCTGGTGTGGTTCCGGGAACCAGATTGCTGCCCAACTGCAGACTGTTTTGGCTTTCATAGACATGTGTTGCCTTCATTTGGTTTTTATTGCTGTGAAGAGACACCATGACCATGGCAACTCTTATAAAGGGAAACATTTAATTGAGGTGGCTCACAGTTTCAGAGGTTCAGTCCATTATCATCATGGTAGGGAGCATGGTAGTGTGCAGGCAGCCATGGTGATGGAGAAATAGCCAAGTGTCCTACATCTTGCTGGCAACAAGAAGTTGACTGCAGTCACACTGAGGGAAGCTTGAGAAAAGAGACCTCAAAGCCTGTCCCCCACAATGACACACTTCTTCTAACAAGGCCACACCTCCTAATAGTGCCACTCACTTTGGGGGCCACTTTTTCTTTAAAACCACCACATGTGTGAATCGTGGCTTCTCCTAGTTGTGTTAGCTTGTGTTTCTTTGACTATAAATGAAATTGACCATTGTCACCAGCCATTGTACTTCTTCCGTTGCATCATGCCATTTACCTCAATTAGCTGCAGAAAAGAGATTGCATTTAAAAAGAAGAAGAGCAAGGAACCTGCGATTGTCGAGAGCCAGACAGCTGTGCATGAGCCGCTGGCTCCATCCCGCCCTGCAGAGATGAAGCCACAGATAGCTGAAGACCAGGTAGGCTGGCACTGCCACGGTAGGATCCATAGCCCAGAGGTGACACAGACTTAGCTTGGTTCTGCCACAGCAGAATCCAAAACCCAGAGATGGCATCAACTTAGTTGTAGTGTAGGATTGCCCGAAGAGTCAGCCAGCCACCACTGATTTCTGAAGTGCTTACTGCATACACTCTTAGGCATGGTGTTATGGGAAAGTCAGAGACCCGACCAAGTTTGCACCACCCTGGCACCCTGAATTTCCTCAGAGAAGGCAAAATTATATGTAAAACAGATCACCAGGGACCTGAGCAGCAACCTAAAGCATCTGCAGGCTAGAGATAGAGTAGTTGCTTACCTAAAATGTGTAAGACTCTGGGCGCAGGCAAGGGGAAGTAAAATGAAGAGCAGAGTTCATCTAAGGGGGACTGGCTAGACTCCTGAAGCCCCTGCTGTCCTGTCACCAACTGGCTGTCCCCTTCAGTCCAGGTACAGGAGAAAAAGCCATCCCAAAGAACCTTGGTTGCTTTGAATGCCAATTCTGTGAGCCCGTTAAAGTCAGTACTTGTGGGGTTTGTTTTGGGACCTGAACTCAGGACAAATGAGGGTCAAGGACTCAGTGACCCATCCACAATGGAGTTAGGGGATGCTGATGGGTACACAGGAAAGGGAGAGAAAAGCACAGCTTACACAGGGCAACCCTGCAGGCCTCACAACTGCTTCCCAGCTAGACTCACATAGGGGAAGCAGGCCCTCCAAGCCGGGCAGCTCAGCAGCTGCTACAATCAGTAGTAAGAGAATAGAAGGGGTAAATAAGGAGAAACAGGGGTCCCAAAGGCCTGAGGCATTGGGAGGCCTTCCTGGTCAGAGGTTGCAGCCTACCATAGTCTTGAAGCTCTCTCTAAGCTCTACAACATGGAGGACTCCCTCCCCAGTGGGACTTCCTGCTCTTTACCTGCCCTTATTTGGAGGTCTCTTGGTTCAGAGGCCTGACCTTATCTGAAAGCTGATTAATTAAAGCTGGATTCCTGATTAATCTTTGGTGTGACCTTTGGCATAATTCCCTGCTAGAGCTCCCCCCAATATGGTAATTAGACATTGTGCTTCCATTTAAGACTTGTACTAGGAGCTTTATGATAGGAATGTGCCGTCTGATGCAGATTAGGTGATTCCCCCAGCTATCATCCCCAATCCTATATATCCCCTATTCTCTGGAATAAAGCTGAGCTGACTCACTGAAGCTGTCTCCCGGAGAGTTATCTCTTTCATCCCAGAAGCCATCCTTCCCTCATCACTCACTTCTGCTCCCTCCCCCATTGAGGATGATCCCTGAGGGAGAAGGGAAACCACATTGGGGGTGTGTCAGAAGCTAGGCAAGCAGAAGCCAAAGGCCTGAGGTTCTGAGTAGGGCATGCTGGGGATGTCCCTGTGGCTGTGCACCCTGTGGCACGCTGGCGTCATACCGCGTTACTGCTTCTAAGACAGAGCACATCACGGGACACAGACTGGGGCAGAGTATCTTAGGGCCACGGTATCTCACAGATTTTGAAGATAAATGGAGAGACTGGCAAAGGCCTGGATGAGACATCCTACCCCCAGCTGTGGATGCTCAAAGGAGAGGTCCTACTGGAATTGGAGCAGCACCAACCAGCCCGGCTGCTCTTATCAGAGGCCCAACAGACTTTCCAGGTAATACACCTCACCCATCTCCACTGACGACATCTTGACCCTGGCCTAAACTCTTCAGATGTATTCTTACTCCTCCTCTAAGGACTTCAGGGGCATTCTGACTTCCAGCGTCTCCACTGAGTCCCCCAAAAGACTTGAGTTAGCATCCTTCCACAGAGCACTGAACAGAGCTCAGCTCTCAGTAGGTTGGGGAGCACAGGCGGGGAGCACAGGCTGTTCTTCTCTAAGGAGCTGCCTAATAGGCCTGGGACCCCAGTGCCCACCCACTCCCTAAATTGACCTTTTGGGTCTCAAGATCCAAACTACACTTGGCAGGGCTTTTCTATCCTGGACTCTATCCCCAATGAATGGCTGACCTTGGATGGTCTGGGTGGAAGAAGCTGTTTTTTGTTGTCTTCTCTAATGATGTCAGACTCCCAAGTTACAGTCCCCTTAACTCCTCCAAACCCCTGCTGACAGACTTAGAATTGCTTTCAGTTGAAGGATGTGGTCAAGATCCTAACACAACCTGCCTGTGGCTTGTTCTGAGGAATTCAAGGAAAAGAGGAAGTTTCAACAATGATGGAAAACTCCAGGGTTACCAGAAAGCTGTGAGCCCAGGCCCTGGTACATACAGTGAGAGCAGGGGGTGCAGGTACCAGATAGGGAGCAGGTATGCAAGGAGCAGGTTTAGAACAGGTGTGTAGGTGCTGGGGTAGGGGAACAGCTGTGCAGATGTCAGGGATGAGACAGGTGTGCAGGTGCCAGAGATGAGACAGACGCACAGGCATAGGGATGAGAACAAGTGTGAAGGTATTGTAAAGGGAAGAGATGTGCAGGTATCAAAGAAGAGACAGATAAGGAGATATCAAAGAAGTAAAAGATGTAGATGAGTAGGGAGGGAACAAGTATATAGTTACAGTGACCAGACAGATGTTCAGGTACTAGGATGGGACTGTCTTAGGGTTTCTATTGCTGCAACAAAACACCATGACCAAGACACCATGGCCAAAAAGCAAGTTGGGGAAGAAAGGGTTTATTTGGCTTACATGTCCATATTGCTGTTCATCATAGAAGGAAGTTAGGACAGGAACTCTAACAGGGCAGGAACCTGGAGGCAGGAGCTGATGCAGAGGCCATAGAAGAGTACTGCTTACTGACTTGCTCCCCATGGCTTGCTCAGCTTGCTTTCTTATAGAACCCAGGACCACCAGTCCAGGGACGGTACCACCCACAATGGGTTGTGCCCTCTCCCATCAGTCACTAATTAAGAAAATGCCTTATAGCCAGATCTTATGGAGGCATCTTCCCAATTGAAGTTCTCTCCTTTCAGATAACTCCGGTTTGTGTGTCAAGTTGACACACAATTAGCCACACGGGACTGATGTACACATTTCAGAGATGACAGGTGTTGTGTTCATGTATCAGGGAGGGGACAGGTCTATTCACAGAGTTGAGATAACCTGTCCTAGAAGTGACTGAGCTGACAGGGAGGCTGTATTCTGTGCATTCAGCACTCTGCCATCAACTGCCATCGCCCTGGCAATTCTACATCTACACCTAGCTTCCTCATCCTCTTCACCTCACCCCTAACTTACTGCAGCCTGGCCCAGATGACATGACTAATGTCTCTCTCGCTTTTCAAGACAGGGTTTCTCTGTGTAGCTTTGGAGTCTGTCCTGGAACTAGCTCTTATAGACCAGGCTGGTCTCGAACTCACAGAGATCCTCCTGCCTCTGCCTCCTGAGTGCTGGGACTAAAGGCACTCAGATGGTGGATCCACCACCATCTGCCTTAGTTAGGGTTTCTATTGCTGTAATGAAACAGCATGACCAAAACAACTTGAGGAGGAAAGGGTTTATTTGACTTACACTTCTATATCACTGTTCAAAGGAAGTCAGGACAGAAACTCAAAAGGGGCAGGAACATGGAGCAGGAACTGATGCAGAGGCCATGGAGGGATGCTACTTACTGACTTGCTCAGCCTGCTTTCTTGTAGAACCCAGGGCCACCAGCCCAGGGGTGGCTCCACCCACAAGGACTGAGCTCTCCCACATCAATCACTAAGAATATACCCTACAAAGCCAGATGTGGTGGTGCATGCCTTTAATCCCAGCACTCAGGCAGATCTCTGAATTCAAGGCCAGCCTGGTCTACAAAACAAGTTCCAGGACAGCTAGGGATATTGTACAGAGAAACCCTGCCTTTATGCCCTGCAGGCTTGCCTACAGCCTAATCTTATGGGGACATTTTCTCTCAATTGAGGCACCCTACTCTCAGATGACTTTAGCTTGTGTCAAGCTGACATGAAACTATCACACATGGCAAAGCTCATTCTAACAATAGCCTCCATAGGGAAGAGGCTGCCAACCTCAGGCAGCAGGGCAGAAAGAAGCTGCCAGTACAACCAAAATCCTGCACAGGCTGGCTCCTGTGGCTCTCAGAGCACACTTTCCACTCCTGAGGACTATCACTCCCACCCAGTGGCTGTGGGCCAACCAGAGTGGAACTGCCCATCTGTCTGTTGTATATTGTCTATTCCTGTTTTTAGGAGCTAGGCTATGTCTGTTTAGAAGCACAGAGCTTGTTGCTTCTAGCACAGCTGGCCAACAAGGAAAAGAACCACGGACAAGCTATGCTCATGATTGAGAGAGCCCAGCAGCTAGGGGGAGCTGAGGAATTCTGGTACAACTCAACCCTGGCTCTGGCTGAGGCCATCTTATCCTCTGAAGATGATGACAAAGAAGTCACAGTGAGTTAGGGGGGGCAGCAGACAATGGTAGGGTGCATGAGGGAGGGTATGTGCTGACGTCCTGTCCCAAGGCCCTGCGGAATGACATGGTGATATGTAACCATCATGTCCAGGTTGGCATACTGTTTCAGAAACTCATAGATACTTTCAAGGACCTCCAGAAAGAAAGGCCAAACCGAAAATCCCTGCTGGAATTCCTCATCATGGACCTGGAGGCCAGGTAATGATACCTCTTGTACCAAAGCTGTGGCTACTTCCCCATACATCCCTCTCATGCTATATGCGCCAAACCCAGGAAGGCTCAAATGCTTCAGAACCATGCGTTCCTTCCCGGCTCTGTGTGTCCCTTATGTCCTCAGGTTCCTCTGAGGAGCAGACCTTCCTTCTACTATGTGCTGTAGAGGAGTCATGACTTCCTCCCAGACAGCCCACATTTCCAGTGTCTTTCCTATGACTCCCTGGAGCCTCTGGACTTTGCCCCCTTGTGGGGGACTGTCAAAGAACCCCTCTTCTTGCACACATGCCAGTACAGACGTCAAGTCACATCACAGACCCCTTCCCAGGAATCCTCTGAGCTCACTGACCACAGTTGCAGGGATCCCTGCCTGGTTTCTGCTTCTGACTCCTCTCTGGAAAGTGCTGTGAGCTCGGTGTCCCACCAGCTGGTCCTGATGGGAATCTGTAAGCAGTCTCATATCAGCATGGTTTTCCTCTTTTCCAGAGGTGAATCTGGTACCTAGGTGGGGTTATTAGATTCTAACTTCATTGATCCAAGGCCATGGCTGTATGGTGTCAATCTTGGGGTGAAAAAAAAAAAAGGCTCAATGGTACTTGATTCAGTGTGCCTGGGTAGACAGTGGGCAGAAAGAGTGTTGCTGTGATCTTGGGCTTTTGGATCTGGTGGGGGAAACTTCAGTCTCCACCATCCTGAGGAGATATCTGTCCAGCAGGTGTGTGACACTTCAAGTCCAACTTTCATTCAGCTTGGTTGACAAAGCCCTTCTTGAGTGCCCATTTGTGCTGGCGGATCTAGAAAATCACCTGGTGGAAGTAGAAGAAAAATTCATACAGAGTGGCTACAAGAGGAAATTTGTCGACTTAAAACTAGAGCACGCGCAGATAAAGAAGTAAGGGCATCACTACACACTCCACCCACACCACTCCATCACCACACACCAGTGGAGCTGCCCAAGGCTCTGCCCTCTGAGCAGGGCCCACTTTTGAGCTCCCCCAGACAGCCCCTCTCCTACTCAACCTCAGACATGACTAGAACCATCTCCCTCCCCAACTTCCTCCATGCCAACCCACCATGCAACCCTGCAGGGTCCCCAGCAGCTGTCCCTATTGCTGCTACAGTTGTGTATTCTGAGGGCTGTGTGGCTCTCCTCCCACGACAGCCCCCAGTGCTTCTCACAGTGTCTCTGTCTGCCCTGGATACCCACAAGCCTTTTACATATGAGCAATCCCTGTGTAGGTGTGACCCTGACTTCAGGAGCCATGATCAGCCAACACCCAAGTCACATCCATTACCACAGGTGTATTGCAGCACCATTGTGGGCCACCAAGAAGGCAGGGAAGTAGGTGACTGAGCCAGCAAGTGGAAATTGGTGTGTTGCTTCATCACATTGTATATACTGTGTCATTCCAACTGTTAAACATACTGTTTTAAAATGCATTTAGAAGGCTGGGGAGAAGGCTCAGTTGGTAAACCATTTGCCTTGCAAGCACAAGGACTTGGGTTCCTTCCCACAGAGCCCATACAAAGAAGCCAAGAATGGTGTGTACATGTATAATGCCAGCACTGGGGAGACAGAGACAAGTTGATCCTTGGGGATTGCTGGCTAGCAATCTACCCTACTTAGTGAGTTCTAGGCCAGTGTGAGACCCTGTCTCCAAAGAAAGGGTTGATTTTGACTTCCATATGCACATACATGCACCTGTGGACATAAATGAACAAATCTACATACACGCTGAAAAGAAATAAATAAAATGAACTGAAAATAACTTTATGTATAAAACATTTAACTGCAAAATTTTTAGGTACTGATAAAATGTATACCATAATTATATAGAAATTATACATTAATCGGTATAACAGGTATTGGTATAATATATTAATTAGAACATCTTTGTTCTAAATTCCACTCTTATATTGTATAAAGGTTATGTGCTCAAAAGGAGAAAGATGAGGAACAAAAAATTGCCTATTGCCTGGATGTGTATAACTTGTCCAACGGAGCTATAGCTGAGGAAGAAGAGCTATTTCACAGAATCCAGGGGCTACTATCCCTTCATGATGTAAGTATGAGCCTGAACATTGAAGTCATGTCTGTGTACAGGACAGCATTGCCTGACAGATCTGATTTTAAGACAAAACCAGCTAGGTACAGTGGGGCATGCCTGTAATCCTAGCACCTGGGAAACTGAGGGAAGATGATGAGGAGTTCCAAGCCAAGCTAAGCTACTCAGTAAGGTCGAATCCAATAAAACCACACACACACACACACACACACACGCACGCACGCACGCACGCACGCACGCACGCACGCACGCACGCACGCACACACACACCAATATATATTTTTTACAAAACCCATATACAAGGGCTGGGGACATAGTTCAGTCAACAAAGTTGTATATATTCTCTGGGCCAACTGGGCCTCTGCCCCTCCCACCTTGGACCTCAACGCCTTCCACCAGATCTGGTCCAGAAGCTGGAAGTACTCTTGTATGGAAGAGAACCTCACCTTCTACCCCTAATACCTTCAAATCCATATAGCAGAAGAAGTAGACATGATGTCTTGTGCTTTTAATTCCAGCACTAGAGAGGAGATGGTGGATCCCTGAGCTCACTGGCTAGGCATCCTGGCATTCTTCGCAAGGCCAAACCAGCAAGAGAATGTGTCTCAAAAAACAAGATATATGGTTCCTGAAGGACCATAAGATGAATGTCATAAAATTTGAACCATACAGAGAATTGTATGCAATTAAATTGGACATCAAAACCAGGAAGCAGGTGCTGGAGAGATGGCTCAGATGTTAAAAAACATTGACTGCTCTTCCAGAGGTCTTGAGTTCATTTCCCAGCAACGACATGGTAGTTCACACCACCTATCATGAGATCTGACACCCTCCTCTGGTGTGTAAGCACACATGCAGACAGAAGACTGTACATATAATAAATAAATATTTAAAAAAAATAACAGGGAGTAGAAACATCCATAGACACAGAAAATAGACTAGTGGTTTCTGGGAGACAAGGACAGGAACAATGAGTGACTTCTAGTTTGGGGTTTCCTTGTAGAATAACGTTGTAATGTTTGGGAACTGAACCAATTATGATAACACAACACTGTGGATTTATCATGTGCTACTGAATTGCATACTTTAATTTTTAGATTTATTTTACTTTATGTCTGTGAGCGTTTTGCCTGTGAGTATGTATGTGAATTACATGCAAGCCTGGTGCTCATGTAAGTCAGAAGAGGGCATCAGATCCCTTGGAACTGGAGTTACAGATGGTTGCGAACCACCACATGGGTGCTGGCAATCAAACCTGGGTCCTCTGAAGGAGTAGCAAGTGCTCTTAACCACTGAATCATCTCTCCAGCCTTCATACTTCAAATTTGTTAATTCTTTATGTTGCTTTTACCTCAGATTTAAAAAAGAAAAAAAGAAAAGAAAAGCATTGTGTGCATGGGAAACCCCAAATGTTTGGAGTTTAAGTAGAATACAGCCAGCAACTCTAGGCCACAGAAGAAGCCAGAGATTAAATGTTTTGAGATGAAGGGAGGAGAGGACATCAAGGAATTTAAGATGTCAGCATAGTGTTTCGGGGGAGTCTGGAGCAAGCACTAAACATCTGAGTAATAACAGTAACAGTAACAGGCCAGAAGTCAAAGAGCTCCTCTTTACCTTAAAATACAAAGAGCAAACTGAATCTAAAACAAGTAATAGAATAGGAACTAAAGATGGAGAGAAAAAGTCAATGCAAATCCAAAACAATGCCCAAACCAAACAAAATCCACCGAACAAGAATTCTCAAGACCTTGGACATGATGATAATCTCTGAACCGAGGCTCAAACTCACTACAACTCCTTAAAGGACAAAGTCACATCCAGGCAGTGGTGGCCAACATCTTTAATCCCAGCACTCACGAGGCAGAGGCAGGCAGACCTCTGTGAGTTCAAGGCCAGTCTGGTCTACAAAGTGAGTTCCAGGACAAGCTTCCAAAACTATTCAGGAGAAACCCTGCCTCAAAAAACAAAAACAACAAAAAACAAATAAAAGCATACAGATTGACAGAAGAAACATGCAAGAAAAATATTTTTTCACAGATGACATGATTTTATAGAAAATCATGTAATATACCAAAATGAAAAACTACAAGTAAGCTAAATTAAAGTTAATGAGTAAGTTAGTTGTGTTTCAGGGTTATGTAGTATATACATCATATTTCTGTAAAAGAATAATTAATTGTATATTAAAAATTAAAGCAATATCATTTATGACTACTTAAGAATAAAATTCGACCCCTAAAATGTGAATGCTTATGCTCCGAAAACAAGAAAACATTACCGAGAATAGTTACAGAAGGCTTAAATTAATGAAAGCAAAAATTCATGTTCCTACATCAGAAGATGAAATATTAGTAAGATGTCAATTCTTCCTTAACCGTAAAACTGATTACTACAGACACTTTTTAATACATACTGACAACATGATTTTAAAATAAGGAAGGTCTAAAATAGCCAAGACAATTTCAAAAAAGAATAAAATTAGAAGACCAATGGTACCTGTTTAAATCCTATTATAGAGGTACAACAATCCAGATGGTGTGTGGGCTGGAGAGATGGTTCAGAAGTTAAGAGCACTTGACTGCTCTTCCAGAGGTCCTGAGTTTGATTCCTAGCAACCACATGGTGGCTCACAACCATCTGTAATGAGATATGGTGCCCTCTCTTGGTATCCAAGCATACATGCAGGCTGAACACCGTATACATAATAAATAAATAGATAAATCTTTTTCTTTAAAAAAAAAAAAGTTACATGGTCAATAGCTGAAAAAAAAAAAAAAAGACAGTGTGTTTAATGGGAAAACGAACAAACAGATGAATGGGACAAATCTGACAATACAGAAATAGAGACACACATGGATAGAGTCTTTAGCAGAGGCACAACTCTATGGACAAAGGATAGTCTTTAGACGATACTAGAACAATAGAAAAATGCAGGTTTAAAACCTGAACTCCACTCATACCTCAGACTGATGTAAAAAAAAAAAAAAATAACCTCAAATGAATCAGAAACCTAAACCAAAAACCTAGAACACACAGGAAAAGTCCCTTGGTGATGACATATTTGGCAAATATGATCCAGTAAAAGGATAAATTGATAAAATGATCTTCTCTTTAAAATATACTATCAAGAGAAAGGTGAAAAGAAAACAGACTTGGAGAAAACATTTGCAAATTTTATTCCTTGATAGAGGAATGCATGAACTCTCAAATTTTAAAGGTAAAATATTAAAAATGAGCAAATTATTTGAAGAGACAGTTCCTCAAATATATGGAAAACAAGCACGTGAAAAGACAAGCATCATTCATGTGGCATATGGATGACTCTCAAAATAACCATACTGGGGTAAGGCAGACAAAACTATCTCATACTGTATGATGCCATTTATACAACACTGATTTATCGCACCACAAAGTAGTTGTCACTTGAGATAGGGGAAAGCTGTCTTGAGCATGCTATGCCAGAAACAGAGATGAACATATTTGTGCCTTTTTACAGCATGAGGATTTGTTGAATAAAATAAATTCACAAGGTTTAAGAGTGTTAACGGCAGCAATTTGCCTGATTATCTTCCTACTTTTGTAATCTGGCCAAGGCAAATTCAAGTCCTTGTTTCCCAGTCTTAATTACAAATATTAACTCTCATGTCACACAGCAAATCTGTCTATATATGAATATGTGTGGATTACAGAAAGCATGCAAATTAAAGAGGCTACCGAAGGGTTCAAGACGTTTCGGAAATGAGCTGAGAGAAATTCTAGTGGAGTCTAAACTGAAAAGGAATCCAGAAAAGGAGAAGCTGTTGCCATAGAAACTGGGCTAAGGAAGAGTCAGGTTTGAGAGCAAAAACCTAGTCAACTGCAGAGGTGACAGGACATAACCAGGTCAGAGCAGGTTTGGGTCTGAATGGGCAAACGTGTGGACAATTAGAGACAGCTGGGTGACCAAGCAGAGCAGAAGCCTCCAGGACACTTGGAGGTTCTCTGCCTGTGAGTTCTCGATGTACACAATACCAGCTACCAGACAAACTGGTTTAGGGCCATGCCATCACAGTGTTAGGTGTCCATCTCTTTATGGGGGGGGGTGCAGGTGAGGGAGTCAAGTCTTTTTTCCTGGTTTGATGTCCTGATAAAGTTCTTGGGCCTGGTTTCCCTAATATGGCTTCAATACACCCATATACCCCTATAGTTTTAATTTACCCCAGTAATTGTATAAAGTGGCTTCATTCTCCCAGGAATAATCCATTTATCTGTGTATGCTGCATGGGCAGTGCCAGATAGATGGTGGTGCTTGTGGATCCAGCCAGGAGTTCAGTTATCCTCTACCCTCAAAGTTGCTAGTGGAGTGGAGTCTCTCAGGGCGAAGGCCCAGCCTGAAAAAACAAAACAAGACAAAACACTGTTTATACAATATGGATAACTTAAAGTAGAGAAGAGCCTAATGCCAACACAGGCTCAAGAAAGGACATGGGAAAGTTCAGAGTGTGAAGACCACATTCCTTTACTTGGGTTGGGATGGTGTGGCATCTATTGCCATGTCAAAGTATATCCACTTTATGCTTGTATTTCTACTTCAATGTGTGCTGTCTATGACATGCCAGCTAGGCCTTTGTCAAAGCCCCGACCAAGGGTTGGTCTCCTCGGGAAGAATGCCTTGCTTTACCCACCTCCCAACTATCTCAGTTACAGAACATCAACTCACCACTGATGAGAAGGCTGGCCCGCCTCAAACTCCGCCTGGCAGAAACATGCCTGGACATGCAGCAGCTAGTCTTCAAGGAGGCCATGGAGTTGCAGCTGGAGCAGGGCTCCTTGGAGAAGCTACTTGCAGACTTCCTTCAGAATATCAACGACTACTCATCCATTGGCTTGGTGACCAAAGGGAGCCTTAGCCCATGTTCTCTCCTGGGGGGTCTGCCAGTCACACTGAAAGCAGGGTGCCAATCTACGGGACCCTCAGTCCCTACCCAGGCAGTTCTTGACCACTCTCACACCTTAGTGAAGAGAGACACTGTCTGATCACCAAGAGGACTTAACTAATAATGAAGAGCTTATTGGAAGGGGTTTCCTATGTAGACTTACAACTTCCATTCCCAGGCCTTGGGGTTAGTCCCTGCCCTGGTCCCTCCCAGCACTGCAAACAGAACAAACTGAATAAGTGAATACCTATTTGGAAGAAAACCATTCTTCCACTTTCTTTCCCTTCTCTCCTTCTTCCCTCCCTCCCTGCCTTCCTTATTTCCTTCCTTCCTATATTTAGGCAGTCCTAGGAATAGAACCCAGGGCCCTGCACATGCTCAGCTGTGGCTCCAGCACTTTCCCGTTCTCTTAAATGCCATGAAATGAGTCAGGTTAATTTAGGGTGAACACAAATGAATCCTACAGTTAACCTCTATCTATAATGACTTCTAATAGAAATTGTCTTTTATTATTCTCCCAATATGTAAGTCCCAGGTGTTATTGTTTTGTTTAAAAAGAAGAAAAGAGAAATTGCTGAGACAGACATATTGACTATAAGTTTATTATAAGGCGCGGCAGAATGGGGAGACTAAGAAGAGGAACAGGGGTAAATGGCTGACCGCCATGGCCAGTCACCAAAGAGAGACAGAGCAGGGAAACAGAGAGACAGGAGACAGGAGACAGAGAGAGAGCGTAAAGGGGCAGGGGCCTATCTTTTAAAGGGGTCCTCTGCACCTGCGTGCAGACTTCTTTCCCATGGAACCTTAGGCTGACCAGGGTATTGCCTGAGTGGATTCCACCAGGTAAGAGGGGCAGGCCAGCATAATGCTTGAACCTTTCACCAGGGACACCTCCTTATGCTACCACACAGAACTTCACAGAGCAAACATATAGCTCAAAGTGCTCAGATGTTCCCTGGGAGGCAACCCTAGAAGGAAGCTATCTGAGTCACCTCTAGGTGATTGGGTAGAGTTCAAGTGTCAGCCATTGGTGATCATGGCACCTTATTGTCTTCCTGAAGCAATGGTACATGCTGAAGAGAACCCTGCCTCACATGGTGCTGACACAGCTGGAGAGTCTGCAGCCGCTGTGTGTGGGCTGCATGGACATCCGTGCCCAGCTTCTAGTGCTGGCTGGGAAGGCCCTCCATCTACTTTCCGTGCAGACAGACCCTGTGTACCCTTCCTTCTGCTGGGAGGAAGACCTCTTGGTAGGTGTCCCTTCTTCCCACTGAAGTCTAGTCCTTGATTGCTCCACCTTGACTGTAGAATTGGGTTGTAAGAGATGTTCCACCAACTCAGCTATGAAGGTCCTGGCCCTGGCATCTCTGTCTTGGTGGCTTGTGTCCAGTTGTGCACTGGCCCCTGGGAGCTTCAGAAATCTCATGCACTATCTGGGGCATCTCCATGCTAAGATACACCAGGACGGATGTTGTCTGCCTCTATGGCCCTCTCTATACCACACAGCTTGGGAAATCTCTGAGAAGGGCAAAGCTACCTTTTCCTCTGCTCCTCCCAGGGCCCACCCTCTTTTAGGGCTGGATTCTCTGACAGAAGCACCCGTCCAATTGAGAACCCTGGTGACAGCTCTTGCAAGCCTGCCTGTTCCAGGTCTAATGACCGTTCAGACAGGAGGCTTATAGCAGGTGGGTAGTACTTGGCTGAAAAGGTCTGAGGCTGAAAACAAATCAGTTCACACAGGTATCATTCTTCCCAAGGTTCTTTATTCTTCAAAAAGAGTTCTTCCCTAAAGTTCTCTTTAAAAGTTTCTCTCAAGACTTCTTTCTCTAAAAGCTCTCTTAAAATTCTCTTTAGAAGTTCTTCTTAAAAAAATTCTCCCCTTAAAAATTCTCCTAGATCCCACAAGGTTTCCAGTTTATATACCCACAGACACAATTAGTAATTCTCTGACAATAGTAAGGATACCAGGCATGCCTATCTCTCAAAGCCCTGAAGGCAGATAGGGTCTTGACAAAAGTGAGGAGATGTGACTTGTAAAACAGAGAAACTTAAGTCTCAGGGGGGACTCAACTTGTGAATTTAAGAGGTGGGGAAGGTTTAAATGTCTATGGCTTCTAAGAAGGGAGAAGGGGATTAGTACATAAAACTACATTTATGTGGTTAGTTAAACCAGAAGTGTATAATTGATAAATATAAAACAAGGAAGAACACTAGAAGTTTATAATTGATAAACACATAAAAATGTATGCATTGGGTTTTGCTTTTGCCTTCGAGGTAGCTGGAAACACAGCATCATGGTAGCCATGGCAACTTGCATACCCTGTGGAAGGAAAATGGTCCCTTGATTCATATTAGCATTTTCTCCCAGCACTAGATCAAAGGGAGGGACTACATGAGATCTGGGGATGCGGCTCTTATCACTGATGCCCCAGTGAGAAGGAATTTCCTTTTTCTGGGGCCTTTTTGAGAATATAAATATAAATATTTTCTCCATCAGAAGTCAATTCTGAATATTAATTGCTACTTCTATAATAAATGATAAAGTCTCTCAGCACAGGTCCCCTTCCTAAGAGCCTGCACAGAGGCACTTCTACCCCAAGATGGCATCAGCCTCAATGGGCAAGCCAGAATGCTTAGTAGACAAGCTCCTACGGGAGCCCTCACAACCCAGTTTAGCAAGCCATTCCCCAGGACTCAACACCCAGAGAAGCTCCCAGCCAGCTAGCTCTGAAGCCCTTGGCTTAGTACCTTGGATCCTCAGGGTGTAGACAGCAAGAGACCAATAAGACCCATGCTGGGTAAGCAGATGTTTGTAACTCCTGCCTAGCTCACAAAGTCAGGGGCTTGAAATACAGAAGCATGAGCCCCTCACCTGTCTGTCCTGAGTTAGGGTCTTCATCTGTAAGATGAGGAAGGCTGTCTCTAAACAGGCAATGACCCCTGTGTGGAGTTCAGGAAGCTCCAGGAAACACACTTGCTTCCTCCCAGGCCCTGGAGTTCCTGCCCACCTCTGTGCACTTGTCCCTTTCCTCTTCCTTAGGTATGGCTGGTCGCCGCTGTTCCATTTCCGAAGTTCACCTTTCTTCTCCGAGCTCTCTTGTTTTCCAGGCGGGATCTTTCCTCTAAGTGCATTTCCATGAAACCTTCTAAGTTTAATGTGTAGAACTTTCATTCTCCAAGTTCATTTCCCAAATGCCACTGTGGTTTCTTCCCTGATCAGCTTGAAGTCTCTAAATAGCTTGTTTAACTCGGAGGCCACTGTACTGTCACAGGCATCTGTTCCCGATGGTTAGCTTGCTCTCACTGTCCCTGGGGATCTGTTTAAGCTGCTGGTGGCCAGGGTCTGGTGGGTATTGACAGTATTGACGAATTTCGGCAAAGTATGAGAGGTGGCGTCCCCTGATGCCAGCTGGGCCTGGCTTTTCTCGAACTCTGTGTATGCACCCTTGAGAGATTGCCTCTCCCTTCCCACCAAATTGGTAACATCTTTGACCTCCCCCCCCAACACCCACACACACAACCCCATGGCTCCCGGTTACGTATAACTTTCAGGGCCTACAGGTCCCTACCATCTTCCCCTGCCCTGGCATCTGTTTTCCCTGCCAACCAAGCAGGAATCCACAAACACAAACACATGGTGTACATCGCAGATAGGTGCTAAACAGAACAGCCAGAGGTCGATGGAGGTGGAGACGGACACAGATGACAAAGGTGCAGATTCCTCCACCAGGGACTCGACAACCTTGAAGGAAACCTCCAGAGAGCAAAACCGGAAGGCTGAGAGTCTGAAGGTAGGCAGCAATCCCTATCTGTCTCCTGGTGGCCTCTGCCTGAAGAGCCCACCTTACCTTGAGCTTTGTACTGCCCACAGAAGAGGTTGGTGCTGGCCCAGAGGTTCCTGGCTCAGACATCAGAGGTACTGCTGCAGTGTTTGCAGGCTTCCCTGAGCAGCAACCTTCTGGACATCGCAGCCATGGCCAGCTTAGAGATGGTGGAGTGCATCGGCAGCCTGGATCCCATAACCACCTGCCAGTTCCTGTCACTGTCTCAGGTACAGACCTCTTCTGCCCGTCTCCAAAAAGGGCCCTTGTCTGCAAGTACCAGGCGGCCATACTGCTGTCCATTAGACAGGACCAGGGTGGCCCTGTGGCTGAAAGAAGAAGAATGCCACCCTATTCTCTGAGCCTTAGGGCATGCTAGTCCTCAAGTAACAGAAGCCAGGCAGGTACCTGCTCTTGTAGCTCAGCGAACACGTGCTGTGCTCACCTTGTACCCCAAGTCTCCATAGTGAGATATACTGCCCTGTAAGCTGGCACAGTCCAGCTACATGCTGGACAGAAGTCCAGCTGAGGGTGACTCACACAGACCCCCAGATGCCCACTCACCTTCTGCCCTTGGATGCTGCACATACCGCCATTCTCTGGTCTGTTTTCAGAGCTGTTCGACCTCACAGATGATGCGGAATGTTTTGCTCACTGCCACGAACAACACCAGCAGCTCACAGCTGGCAGCCCTGCTGCAGCTCCATCAGCGGATGAGGAAGCAGGACAAGACCTCCACCAACCTGTTTGCCAGTGTGGAGCACAGGCTGGCCGCCACTTCCAGGGTAATGAGAAAAGAGCCTACATACCTGCTCCTGTGGTCTGCAGGCCTCTCTGTACTCACTCACTGACTGCTAAGAGGACAGTGATGCATGCCTTACCCATTCTAGCTGTGTGGGTCTAGAGGACCACTCAACCTCTCTGAGCCTCATGTGCTGTGAACACAAGGACAAGAAAGCTGAGGGAAATGTAGTTCATTCCCTCACTTGCCCCAAAGGAGTCTAGGTGTAGTCGAACATTTTTCATAGGGACTACCAGCTCACAAACAATGACTGGAGACTTATTAATTATGAAAGCTTGACCAGTAGCTTAGGCTTGTTTTTCTAACTAGCTCTTATAACTTAAATTAACCCATTTCTAGTCATCTACGGGTTGCCACACGACTCATGGCTTTTTCCTCATCTCCTGCATCTCATGCTTCCTCGGCATCTGGCTGACGATGCCTCCTTCTTCCCAGCTTTCTCTCTGCCCCGAAAATCCTACCTTCCTATTGGCTGTTTAGCTTTTTATTAAACCAACCACAGTGACATATCTTCACACAGTGTGAAGGAATATTCCACATCACCTAGACCTTGGTAAAGTCCAGTGACTAGCCAGTTTCATCTTTGCTCTGACAAAGTACGTCAAGAAAAACTGTGATGGAATTTCACCAACCACAGAGGGGCATGAAAGAGAATAGGGGCATTTTTAGATACCTAAAAACCATGATAATTTGTACCAAGAAATAGCAGAGAAACTAAAAGACATAAGGAAAACAGTCTCAGACAGAACTATGAACAATCAGGACAGTCTGGAGACTTGAGAGAGGAGTTTATAACACTCAAAATAAGTGCCATGGTTGAGGCCAGAGCCCGAAATCCATCCTGTTAGGCTTGAGTCAAACCATGCGCTAAAGGGAGTGCAAGGGACAAGAGGAAGGAGGGCAATTTAAGATTCTAAGGTCCTGTGGCCCTCAGAGAAGTGGTGCGATTCACACGTCCATGGTGACAGTCATAGTCCCTAAGAAGAGCCACTAAAACCATGTGTATCAAAATAACAGACGGAATGGAAATCACTTCAAAGTAAAGCAAGTAGACTATAAAAACTGGTGGTTCTATACAGAAAGAACAGTTCAGCAGTAGCTATACACTCAATATATTGGCAATGACAATAAATGCATGTTGAGTGACACTCTATGTCAGAGACCAGATTTAAAAAAATAAAAAAAATAATAAAAAAAATAAAAAAAGGACTACAGACTCCTGATGCAACTACTTAGAGGAAGCACTTTACACATGAGGACAGAAAGGTTAAAAGACAAAGGTCAGACATGGTGCACTGTGTCACTAGAGATGGAAGGAGACCTCACAATGGCACAGGGGTCAGCCTAGCAAGAAGTCACAGTCCACCCAGTGACACATACACCCTCAACAGATACAAAAGGAGCAGCAGGCCACACTATAATTCTTGCAGGGAACATCAGGCACTCTCTCCATCATCCACACAGCAAATGCGGTGCAAACCAGCCCTATACAGACAACCTGGAGGCCCCGTCCCAGCTGACATCTAGAGATACCATGCCATGGGTGTCATCCCTCATACCCTGCCCAAGTGTGTCAATGTAACAAAAACCCACCAGACTCAGGGCACCAGCAGCCTTGTCTTAGTTACTTTTCTATTGCCATGACCAAAGCAACTTATAAAAGAAAGCATTTCATTTGAGGATCATGGTTGCGGAGGGTTAGAGTCTATGATCATCATGGCAGGAGCATGGTGGCAGGTAGACATGACATTAGAAGAATAGCCAGGAGCTCACTGAGAATATTGTGTGCTTTTGAAACCTCAGAGCCCACATTGACACACCTCCTCCAACAAGACCACATCTCCTAATCCTACCTACTGGGACCAAACATTCAAATATGTCTATGGGGGCCATTCTCATCCAAAGCACTACAAGTGGTATGCTCACACAACAGAACATCCTGCAGCAAGGAGGGCCTGCTACCACATGAACCTGCATAGCAAGGCTACCCACATTCTTGAGACGGTCAATAGCCAGGGAGAAAAGCAAACCTCCTCCAATAGAAGTCTGTTCACAGCCTCTATATGGAGGCGCTAGGGTAACAACACTACCTATCTTTTCACCTGCCATGTGGGTACAGTTATCGTGAAAAATCCCCACCAAGTTCTCTATGTAGGGTTTCCGTGGCTTCCTGTTGCTTATTCTTTGTCAAAATGTTTTCTAAGAAATGATTGCAGTTTTGCAAATTCAAAGCATCTATCTTGAATCCATGAGCATTAGAAGCTCACACAGGAGATCCCAGGATGCTCCCCAGGGCCCATGCTGGCTGCCTGCCATGGGCAGTGGAGACCCTGAAGTGTGCAGTGTCTAGGATTGCTCAGGATTATCCCCGTACAATTCTGACAGGAAAGCAGAACTGGGGTCTGGAGTAAATCGACCGCAAGCTAGGTTAACAGTCTGCAAACTCAGGACTAAGTGGAGGTTCTCAGTTAGGCTGGAAGAAGTAGTTAGGAACTTACTTTGTTTTGTTTTTTTGAGGTTTCTTTGTGTAACCCTGGTTGTCCTGGAACCAGGCTGGCCTCGAACTAGCAAAGATCCACCTGCCTTTGCATCGCCAGTGCTGGGATTAAAGGTGTGCACCACTACCACCCAGCAGTAAGAACCTTATTGAAGAGATGCTGTTTAAGGTTTCTGGAAACCACTTTAGCAAGTAGGCGTAGCAGGACATTTTAGAGGAACCAGTGAACTTCTCATGCCTCTGCTGCCCTCTTGTGGTAGTAATGCATCCCACAGAGCAATGGCCCTGGGTCCTGAGTGATTTTCCCCTGTCATGAACAGGCATGGCAGGGCCTCTGTGTCACAGATCAGCATTTCACCTTCCTGAATGAGATTCCACCCATGTTCCGGATCGTCTTTCTTCAGCACTCACGAGACAGGTGAGGTCTCCCCCTCCCATCGTTGTAAAGCTCTGCTCTTTTGAGAAGCCAAGCAAGGAGGCCTGGGTATAGCAAGCTTACTACACTTCAGCTCCTACACTGAGGCAGACTGTGCCATCTAGAAAGCATAATGGGCAGACTCAGCTAGCCCACTTGACAGGCGTTCAATCCAGAGACATGGAAAGTCCTCTTCTGACCCTCCTGGAAAAGGCCAGGATGAATTTCCATAATGCTGGGGAGTATATTGGGATGGAGACACTTTGTGATCCGTGTCCACACAGGGTCTTTCTCTTAGGTCTGTGTAGGCCTACACTGCTGGGTCTTTTGTAATTTCAAGTCCTCTGCCTGGCAAAGTAAACAAGGAAAGGTACCTGTTAGATGCCAGCTGCAGATTGTCTCGATGCGCTCCTGAGACCTGTGTTGTGTGCCTTGCTCTTTACCTCCTCTGGGAATGGGCCTGTGACCTTCACTCTGCTTGCAGGTCCTATCTGTATGGTGCTGCCTTTGAGAGACCAAAGTCCATGCCTGCACCCAAGGGGAAAACGGTAGCAGTGGGCGGTAAGCTTGGGTATAAGCAAGGCTTCTCCCATTGACTCCAGAGGGGTTGCAGTGGGTTGAGAAATCCCTACCACACAACAGGACCTCCCACTACCAGATGCAGGGGTGAGGGGAGGCTGAGCCCAGAATAGAAAACAGAATCATCACATGTTTCTCAGGGATCTGAAGGATCCACACCTCCCAAGAGCTCCCTTGCCAGTCACCACTGTGTTTTGCCTCTGCCTGAACTTTCTGGGTACCAGCCCTTGTGCTGCCCAGAGAGGAATGGCGAACTCCATGTGAAGACCTTCCTATCATGTCCCTCGCCTCTGAGACATCATGGTTGAATATGTCCATAAGGACTCTTATATCTCTACCTGTTCACACACCCCTAGTAGCTCACTCTGAGCCCTGTAAAGGCCATAGGCATGTCTCTATATACAGGTCACTGCAAGGTAATGCGGGTGACTGTGAGTCCAACTGCCTACTCAGACTTGTTGACCAGAGTCCAGTGGTTCCGGAAGCAGACACAGATCCAGGTACACAGAAAAGATATGACCTTGAATCCAAACACTCCCAAGACATATTGCAGGGTCCAGTTCCTCTCAGGGAAAGCCAGGCCTCCAAGGTTGGGTTGGGTCAAGGTTCTGGGTCCAGGTCTCAAGAGGATGAAGGTGAAGCCTCAGGAAAGGTGGGGCACTCCCCCGAGTCATTAACTTGAGTCTGGCCCCAGCAAAGGTGTCTGGTTACCTCTTCTCTGCAGAGCACAGGGTTAGCTGTCCTGGGCCTATCCCTACCATCAGGATACTCCACAGTGTCAGCAGAGGATAGGGACAGGGCTGAGAAGTCAGGATAGCCTCAGGAAAACCACTGGGAGAATTGTGCTGGGAAGGACCAGAGCATGCCAGCGCTCTATCTGGAAGGGTTGGAGCACAGTTCTCTCCCGGGTCTTCCCCAAATTTGGTGGAAAGTCATGATTGGATGAAAGCCATGTCGAAATACCCCTGGACAATAGGCTGTGGTTTGGGTTGGAACAGAAATCGGATACCTTGCATGATTTGGAGCAAGACCTGAGCAGGGAGAGGCTCAACGGCATCCTGGAGAATATGGAGGACTATATGAAGCCCATTGCTCCCCTGTTCACCTTCCCAGATTTCAGGTATCAGCATGTCATCTCCATTGAAAGCTCCCAGGGGCAGCCAGCTTCCCGACACCAAGTGATAGGCAGTTGTCAGCAGAAGGAACTAGAGACTGTTGCGCATGGGCTACAAATCCCACAGTAACCAGAATCTGGAGCCCACGGGAAAGATAAGCTGGGTGTAGCTGAAGGCCAGCTCTAACTAACCCCAGATCTGGACCCCAAAGTACTGATGTGAGCTGAGTATCCAGTTGTGATGGGCAGAAAGCCAGAGCTGGTTTCTGGGATCTCTCTCCACATGGAAACTGGTCTCTAAGTATCCTGTCCCTACTAAGGACAAACGTAAGAGCTTGGCTGTGTGTTTTGTGGGCAGGGATCTGGCTGTTGCTGCTGCTGCTGCTGCTGTCCCCTGCCCCACTGACCTCCTGGTCTGAGTGTGGTGTGGGAGAACTGGCAAGTTCCCGGGACTCAGCCTCTGGCATTCATTTAGGAAGAAAAGAGAAGGCAGATGGAAGGTGGAGGGGAATCTTTCTCCAGCAGCAGGAGAGGCCATCCTGTGGTCCCTGTCTGTTGATACTCTGTGAAGTCCCCCTGATGTAGAGACGGCCCTCAATGATAGCTGGGTATGGGAGCACATGTCTTCAACCCCAGCACTCAGGAGTCAGAAGCAGGCAGATCTCTGTGAGTTCGAGGCCAGCCGGGTTTACATAGAGCGTTGTGGGGCAGCGAGAGCTATATAGTGAGACTGGCTATGTCTTAAAAACACAAAACAAAGCAGCAATCATTGGCTGAGGAACAGGCTGAGTGGTGCTTGCCATAGTTGTTGAGTATCTCCCCATGCTTCCTAAGGTCTGAACTGTCTCTCTAACTTCAGGACACAGATGTCAACGGGTGTAGCTGATGCAGGGAAACACAAAGGCAAAGAGAAGGAAAGGAAAGTGTCTCTCTCTTCAGGTGAGTGGCAGGAACAGACCCACAGGCCAGTGCTGGTACTTTCAGGAACCTGTGAGGGTACTTGCCCTCCCAGCAGTCAAAACCTAAGTGGGTGAGGAGTCACAGGTCCCACATCCGAACAAGTCCCACCCCCATGTGCTACACAGAGCCCTTGAGGTCCCCAGTACGCAATCACCCCAGGCTAGGTGAAAGACCAGTGGTTATCAGCCTTCCTAACTTAGTGACTTCATGCTGTGGTGACCCCCAACCATAAAATTATTTTCATTGCTACTTCCAAAACTGTAATGTTGCTACTGTTACGGATTGTCATGTAAATATTGGTGTTTTGCAATGGTCTTAGGCAGTCCCTATGAAGAGTCATTTGCTCCCCAAAGGGGTCGTGGCCCACAGGTTGAGGACCACAGCCCTAGAAGGTTCTGGGCACTGAGACTGACAGCTCACTGAAAGGGGTTATCAAACAGCAAAGCCACTCTATCCTTTCTGGGCAAATTGTCAGTTCTTGACATACAAAGTGCCCATAAGCAAGAGCAGTGATGATGTACCCAGGCCTCAGTACCCCGGCCAGGTGGGAGGAGGAGGCTGTGGTGACTGTCTGCTGATGTTTCTAGGAAAGATTGGTATTGCCGCCCTGCCTTGGGGAGCTCACCAGAGGTAGCCACGGGAAAGGGTCTCTGTCCCATCCACCTGGTACGCATCCATATGTGGTCTCTGCGGGTGGCACTGTCTGTGGGTACTTTTAGCACAACCCTGCAGCTTTTATTCCTGCTGGAAAGAATGGGAGGAATGCTTGCTGCATGACTCCTGGCAGGAAGGCAAACGTGGGTGCCATCTTGGCTGCTTCTATGATCTTACTAACCTCCCCTTTAAAAAGACAGTTTCCTATCTTAAATGTTGTCTGCTTTTCTCTCCCCACAAAGAATTCTTGATAGATGGTCAAGGGGGTGGCTGCTTGCCCTCCCCTCTCAAAAAGTCACAAGCCTTCTTCGAAGTCAAGCTGACCATATTGCCATGACCCGGATGCAGCAAGAACTATGAGACCTGTAAATTGCAAATGGGTCAGGCCTAAATCTGGCTGAGGGGAAGTTGTTCAGAATTATTGCAGCAACTAGGGAAACGAGTGATGGTTTTGTTACTCTATGGGCAGGCTGGTCACTCCCTGAGACCTCCTCCTAAATTGAGTCTCTACTCTGCATTAAACTCCCAGGATTAAAAACAGGAATGAAGAGTCACTGCTGGGTTTCAAGCAAACCTGTTCTGGATTTGAAAATTAAGAAAATACAGTTGAAGTGTCCGTGGCCTCACCCCTGGGTACCAGCATAGCTGCAGGCAGAATGGCAGTGTGTCATCAGTTGGTGGCCCACACTGGGGCGTGAGAATGAGCCTCCCTTCCAGTGCCCTCTGAAGGACTCACTGTTTGGAAACTCCTCTGGTAGTTTTCATCAGCCTGAACATTACACATCCCGCCTTGGGAGTCAGGTGTCTTGAGATGTAGCATCCTGTAAGGTGTGCCACTAAGTTTGGGCTCTGTCCAGGTTCACATCATGAGCTTGTTCTCACCATTAAAACCAGTGGCTGCCTCAGGGACCCTAGCATGCCATCAATCCTAGCATGTCATCAGTGTAGTTAAACCTCTGCAAGCTTGGCTGGGGCCACACTTTTCCCTCATTTCTCCATGCCAGGGACAGCTGCCACCAGGCCAGTCACCTAGACACAAAGTCAGGGCTTGAGGTGATGAAGCCCAAGCTCCAGGGTCTGCCCTATCTCTAGAGCTGGTCTCTCCTCAAGTTTTGAGCTGCTGCCCTTTCCATTTCACAGGGCAGCTTGACTCTGAGTACATGATCCTGATCGTAGACAAGCTCCTACTAGAATTGCCCCTTGAGGGGCTCTCTATGCTCGATGAGTTCACCTCCCTGTCAAGAGAATTTTCTCTCCAGATGCTGTGGAATCGTCTCCATAAGGAGGAGCTAGGTGAGTAGTGCCTTAGCCACATTAAAGCTTAGTTTTAAAATGGGAATTTTAAAATTATGTTTCAGATAAATCATTGTTAACTCTTGTCAAAAGGTAGGGAACAAAGCACTGGGGTGCAGCCCAGGGTGGAGTGCTTGACTAGCATGTACAGGGCCAAGTGTTTTAACATTCATTCAAAATCATTTCCAGAATAGACACTTGATACAGTGAATGGAAGCCCACTTGAGTCCGTGTTTCATGAGTGCTGATACCATAACAAAGAATAATCCTGTTGGTCGAAAACTCTGATACTCAGAATCATTTGCCTAGATGTTGAGGGGCAGTGAGGGAAGGCAGGTCCTGAGTCAGGCCTTGGGCAAGGTAGAAAACAAGGATTTGGAGACCATCCCCTGTGAGACTGCATGATACTCCAGTCTGTGAAAGCCTCTCAACTGTTCCTGGGGCATACTGCCCCTTTGAAATGCATGATGTACATTGATAAATACCAAATTGGAGCTGAAAATATAGCTCAATGATGGAGCATTCACTCAGGGTGAACAAGGCCCCTTGGTTATAAACCCAGAACTTCAAAAAGAGAAAAGCATTCAGTGATCAATTGATACAAAATTAAGTTAAAAATCAATTAGACGTCTGTTGCTACTCCAGGTAAAAAAATGCCAGCCACATCCTTCCAACCAAGATGACAAGACAAATTCTAATTGGTATTAATAATAAAAACTCAGAGTCAGCTGTCAGGAGGTGAAAGCTGAAGGATCAGAGAAGCAAAGCAGCCAGCCACCAGACAGGTCTTATCTCTACCAATGCTCACACCAAAGGGACCATCCTGTCCTCAGATTGCTTCCTCAGACTGCCTCCCCAGATTGCCTGCGTTAAATTGCTTCCTCAGACTGCCTGGCCTCTATGGCTACCTAGTGTGACTAGCTTTGCACTCTGATATCTTCAGGCAAACTTTATTTGTTAGATCATAAACAAAATATCACGGCAGGGTTTCTATCGCTGTGAGGAGACACCATGACCGAGGCAGCTCTTGTAAGGGAAAAACATTTCATGTGAGTGGCTTACATTTTTCAGAGGTTTAGTTTATTATCATCATGATACAACGTGGTGGTGTGCAGGCAGACATGGTGCTGGCAAGGAGCTAAGGTTCCTACATCTTAACTAATGGGCAACAGGAAGTAGGCTGAGATACTGGGTGGTGGCTTAAGCATATATGAGACCTCAAAGCCTGCCTCCACAGTGACACAGTTCCCCCAACATGACCACAGCTACTCCACAAGGCCACACCTCCTAACAGCGCCACTCCCTTTGGGGGCCATTTTCTTTGAAACCACCACACATGACCCAGGTGCTTCTTAGTCTTGTGGTTCAAACATTGGCAGGAACATCAGGAATATCCCAGGGGGCTGAGCCTGGAGGGAAAGCCGAGTAACTCAGGGACAACATATCCAGAAGTGACAATTGTCTAAAAAAACCTACAGAGGACCCTTTGGAGGCCAGAAGAAGTGAGGCCAGCAACAGTGAACCCAAAGGTCGGGGAAAGAAACAAGCAGCCATGGAGCAAGGGGACGATAACCTTTTTTTTTTTTTCATTTAAAAAATTTATTCAAAATATTTTGAACAAACCCTTGAGTGAAAGAAAATAATAGCAATACTAGTGGGATTTTATGACATGTTTGACAAGACCAGGGCAAGAGCTGAGGCAGGGGGATGATGCAAGTTGTGTAAGGGCCCCTGTCTCATAACTGATGCAGGGTAGTGCCACTTATAGGGATATTGTGATCTTAGCAATCACTAAGAACAACCCAGGCCCCAGAGTTTACTCTAGATTGGAGTCAATGGGAATGGGGAGATGAAGCTGACTGTGGGAGACATGCTGAAACCACACACACACACACACACACACACACACACACACACACACACACCTATAGCTGCTAGGATGGCTGCAGTTGAACAGGTTGGTGTGGGGGTGAGGACTGGAGGTCGCCATGTCCAAGGAGGGCACACAGCAGATGACTTCATTTCTGGAAAGTTCTGAAAGTGTAAATTGGTTTCCACTTAGAAAGCAAATAAGTAGCTACTTGGTAAGAATAAATGCCTCAGGAAATGCAAGACTGAGATGTATCTGAGGGCCTGTGTGAAGGCCAGGTCTGGCTCTGACAGAAGATCCATCAGAACCAAGTAGCCTCTTGGTGTGTCCCTGAGAAGTGTCCTTGGCAAAATGAGGATGGCAGAGAGCCGTGCCTATCACCGTGGCTACCCTGAAAGGCAGAAAACGGAGTGGAAGACACGGCATGGAGAAGGGAGAAGATGGTCTCATTGGAGTACAGAACTATCCACATGAAGACCCACTCACTGGGGACAGTTCAGCACAGAAAACACACAGGCTAAAAGTCTCTGTACAGAGACCCTGGAACCATCAGGAGCCTAAATACTACAGGCATTCTGGTGTGTGAAAGGTCGGTGGTCAGAAATGGTGCCTCGACACCTTGGGGACTGGTCATTCCTCAAGAGCTTTTCTTGGACCTGTGAAGCTTTGTGTTTTGGCATGGCAAAAATGAAAACCAATTGCTCTCACCCAAAATTGAGCTGAGCAGTGCCTGCTGACACATCACACTTGCCATTGTCTTTCACAGAAGGTAGTGTGAAGAAAGAGACCAAAATCAAGGAATTCAAGAAGAAAAATCCAGCAAAGAAAGGCTTGAAGGTAGGTGGGTGGCGGACCAGGGGTCCCTTGCTCCTCTCAGCTTGAGTTTGGTAATGCCCACCAGATCTGCTGAGGCCCAACTGGTGGCCCCAGGTGTCAACACCTCTCTATGTGTTGCAGAACGCCATGATCCGGGTCATCCCACCCGAATGCACCCTAATCGACTCTGACACTATCAAGTGTATCCTTTGATGGGTGCTCACGGCCCCCAGGACTCCGCCTTTTGTACTTGTTTGTCCTTGACTCAGACCAGTTGTTGTGGACCCTTATGAGGAGGCTGAGGTCAAAGGTGAGCACATTCTCATGGACCCTTGGCATATAGGCCAATGCCACCTAGGCCTTGTGCCAGCCGCTCTCATCCCCTCAAGTGGCCTTGGAGCCTTGGGTCTGAACACAAGCTAACCACCTTGCCATTCTAAACACTTGGGGCCCCCTCTTTCCTCCTCCTCTTCTTCCTCCTCTTCCTACTGATAACCCTCCTCTACCAATTCCTCCACCTAAAGGGGAAAGGAGAGGCACTAGCATTCCCACATGTGCTTACCACTCACTCCTTCCCAGCCTCTGTCCCAGCCCAGTGGCACAGGACCCCACCCTCATGCTCTGATGAGGAAGCCATAGCCTGTCTGTCTCAATTCTTTCTGCAGAGGTACTGAGTCCTGTTTCCGTAACCCAGGAAATCTTGGAGAAGTTCCGAGAATCATACACTGCACGTTGGACGGGGCATCTGGGAAGCTACCACATTCTAAGGTTGGGACCCGGGTCTCCAAAAGCTGGCTAGAGAGGCTGGTATCCTCATGCCTCATCTCCCCAACTAGATGGATCTGTCCTGTAGAGCCCCAGGCACAACTAGGCAAGGGAATCTGCTATAACCCCACATAATCTATCACCCACACATAATCTATCCCAAGTGACCTCAGGTCCCCTTCAGGCCAAACCACCCAAAGAAGGTACACTACTAGCATAGGGTCAGGTAGCTCCATGTCAATGCCCCCGCCCCCGTGGGGATCCATTCTGTCATCCCGGCCCCTTAATGTATATGGGACTGGGGCAGCAGGGAGCCAAGGCAGTTGGAATAGGGGTACAGGAGTAAGCCTATGCAGGGCTGGGGTGGACCATAGAGAGCAGAGCTGGTGGAGGGTAGGACATGGAGGATGACACATACCCTGCCTAGATCCCCTTGGTCACATTAGAGGTACCAGAGTATTTCCCAGAACCAGTCCCACTGGCTTAAGACGCATGGTAGTTTAGACTACCATGCTCGCTAGGGAAAGTCCATCTGAGGCCAGCTATACACTGGGAAAACAAAAACCATTTTTGAGTTCCTCAGAAGTATAAAAGTGTTTGTGGGAGTTGGCTAACAGATCTTGGCTAACAGATCTTGAAGGAGGCAGTTACAGATGCACACGCCCAGCCCAGATGTGTGGTCATACCCACCGCTGTTTTGACCCCGTGTAGCCAGACCGACTGGGAGCAAGTACTGGACAGCTGCAGAGCCTTTTTCTTCTATGGGATGGAGGGCTTCCTGTCCCACCTGGTAGTGGAAAGACTGGTAGCCATGGATCTGCAAGGTGAGGCCCCCCTCCCCCATCGGCAAGCTCACAGCCAGAGCCTGCAGGGACAAGTGAAATCACGGGGAGAAACGCAGGATGGTTGCTTCTTGATCCAAGGCTTTTTATTCTTCAGGAAGGCGTAGTATTCTGCTCTAACCTGTCCTCTGCCTATCGGAAAACTGTCCCTGCCCCCCTTCCAACAATGGCATGGCAGTCACAGGGCCACTAGCCCTCCCGGTTGCCCTCAGCCCCCCTTACATACAGAGGACCCCTGTTCAGATCTCTAGACCCTCACAGATGAGAGTCACTTGTGGAGTGTCACCTCCTATGGCTGGGCTGATAGGTCGCTGCAGAAGTCTAGTCTGAACACGGCTAATTTGTGAGCCTTGTTCTCTCTGTGTGTCTACTAACAACAGACCCAGGAGGCCAGTGAGCCCCAGAAGTGCTGTACCCAGACATTCCAGGGAATGAAGGGGTTCAGAGGCCAGGTAGAGGATGAAGTACCAGGTGGTGGGCTGAGTACAGAGTGCTTACAGGCACCTTCCCAGGTGGGCCATGCTACCATGGCACTGACATCACACAGCACTACGGGACAGCAGGCTCGATGTTCAGACATATGGGGAACGCGCTGCAGTGTGCTGGTCTTTGCAGTCCACAGCCATCTCAGCAACATAGCCATATTCCTGCCAGATGCTCCTAGGTCTTTTTCCCACTCATAGGAGGCTGCTTCTGTCAGGCTGCTCAGGACCAGACATCCTGCACAATAGGCAAGCCTTTTCAGGCCCCCAGAGATGTCCCTTCCTTCCTCGTGAGGCATATGGCCCCTTACAGGGCTATACAGCAACTGCCTGGAGGCTCTTTCCACACCAAGGCACCTATGTCCACCATGGCTGGACCACATGCTGACCAGGTCTACTTCCAACCCTGGGTAGCCTTGGGCATGCACCAGCCAGACACCAGTGGAGTGAGCAGAACCCCCATCATCAGAAACACCCCAAAGACATTTCTTGTCCCAGTGACAGAGAAAGCCCTCTTAGAAAGACTAGTTCTCAGTGATATGTCACATAAAGTAGAAGACACACGAGGCATGTGCAAAAGTGGCAGTCCTTCCTGGTGTCCACTGTCCCTAGGAGGCCATATCCCTTCCCAGATGGATGTTTTCCCTGTGGGAACAGTCTTGGGGCTCAGAGACAAGAACATCCTTCACCCCTGTGTCCATGTTGGCCCTATAGATAGTCACACCAGGACCATACTCTGCCACTTGTTTCAGCGAGCATGCCTGTCTAAGGTGGCCCACTCACTCCCAAGTACTCGTGACCGTCTCACATCCCAGAAACCCTCATATCTGTAGCAAACTGAGGGCTGGTAAGCTTGGTCAGCATCCAAAGCCCTCTAATAGTGCACATGGTACTTTTGCCAGCCCCTCTTTGGTGGTGTCAGCTTCTCATACCACACCCTAGGTAAGAACTGCATCTCTCTCTCTCTCTCTCTCTCTCTCTCTCTCTCTCTCTCTCTCTCCTTCTTTCTCTCTCTCTTCTCTCTCTCTCTTTTTTCTTTTTTTCTGTGGTCCTTGAGTTTGAATCTAGGGCCTCACACACACCAAGCATGTGTTCTACCTCCTATGGAATGCCAGAAACTTCCATAAGTGATGGAGGAACAGGGCCAACTATGCTAGGGAGAATTAGGGGTGGCCCTGAGTAGGCTTGTTCCCCATCTCCCCTGTGTGCTCACTGGGTACCTGAAAAGAACCTGTGAAAGCCTAAGCCTCAAGGCTTCTTAGAGTGCAGATCCCATGGGGATCTGGTAATGGCGTAGGTGACCACTGAGGAGCCTCACTGTGTCCTGCAGAATGCCAGATGATGATCCTGCTGGACTTGACAAGGTCCTCCGAGAGCCGGAAGCGGAAGGAAGAGTCCTCAGAGAGCAAGAGGTACCTAGTGTCCTTATGTCATTAGGAGCCCGTGGATGGGGAGGGGTTGTTATGAGCAAGTGCTGGTACAGCTCACCCCAGAGCTGGCTGGCCGGCACCCTTCACCTCATGGCACCAACTCTCACTGCTGGCAGGCTCCATGCTAGGGTTGTGAGCTGCCACCAGATGGACTTAACAATACTCAGAAAAGCTATTTCCTGTTAAATGACATTTACCTTTTGTGGGTGAGATTCAGAACTATAAAAGCCTTGGTCCACACATGCATTCTAGCAGCTGGTGCAGGGAAGGAGAGAGGGAAGGCCATCAGCCCCTTGGTGCCAGTCTATGCATCCCACAGTAAATCACAACGGTCCTTGGAGAAGCCTATCGAGACTGCCATCCTTCTGAGCCTGGTGGGGGTTGAGAGCATCGTGGCTAACCAGTGGCCCACGCTTCTGCAGGACAACGCGCTGAGGGCCAATATCCTGTGGGATAGTGAGTGGGCACACTGGCTATCCCAAAGCCTTCTTGGCCTGCCAAAGGTGTCCATAGCCCACCTGAAGGGACTTTTCCCCCCCAGACCTGTTAGCAATTGGCAAGCCACTTGGGAAAACAGTTCGTCTCATTCAGAGGATAGGCAATGAAACCGTTAACCAAGGTAAGGCAGAGACTGCCCACCCATCTGCTTGTCTGTATAAGTCACCAGTGGTTACATTGCACCCTACCACCCGCAGGGACAGGGTGTTCCCTACTTCAAGAGAGAAAAGGAGAGGGAAAGGGAGGGAAGGAGGGAGAGGAAAGGAGGGGTAGCCCACCAGAGCAATGGGGAGAAGAGGGAGGGAGAGAGGGAGGGACAGGATAGTAAGCAAAGGTCTCAGCTGTACTCTCTGTAAAGAGATGGGGAGGTCTTGGTGGTCCCTGCACTTTCCCTCTGCCCAGAGAAATTACATTGGGGGGTGCCACCTAGGCTACCCTGTCCATGGGCCCCATGAGGTCACCTGATCTTCCTAAGCCAGGACAAGGAAACATCTAGGAGGAGGAACTCCCAGACTGAGGGTGTGTCCTGCTAGAGCCAGGAGTGTAACCCTGCTTTCATCTCCTTCCTGTCCTTATAAACTTTCTGATATCCTCTGGCCTCAGGGTAAAGCTTCAGGCAGGGCTGTAGGATGCTGCCTGTTCTAAATGAGACAAACTCCATCTACCCATCCTTCACACAAACCTTGCGCCAAGATGTGCCAGCTGCAGTGAAAGAATTTGCCGATAAATTTCACATGTGGATACTAGTGTTTAAAAAAAATCAGATAAAACTCTAGCTAATTGCATTTAGCAATACGCTAAAGTGAAAATGGGCCATAAATCACGAAGATTTATCCTGGGAGGGTTTAAAATTGAGAAATCTGAAATGCATTCAATACAACTCAGTAGGAGATTAACTTTTGAAAAATCTTGTGCTCCCCAGTGCCTGAGACATAGCTGCCAGGGAAAAGAGGGGAGTTGGATGTGTGAGTGAGTCCCAGTGAGTGGATGAATAAAGAGTGAGTGAGTGAGTGAGTGAGTGAGCAAATGAACGAGTGAGTGAGGAGTGAATGAGTGAACATGTGAGTGTATTAGTGAGTAAACTAGGAGGTCGAGGGGTGGATTAAGTGGGTGAATGAGCGGGTGAGAAAATGAGTGAGTGAGGAGTGAATGAATGAAGTTGTGAGTTAGTGACTGAATGAATAGATTTGTGAGAATAAGTGAGAGCAAATGACTGAGCAGTCAAGTAAAGGAAGAGGGACCAGAGAGGTAGACAAAGGTGGCGAAGTCTGGCATTCCTTCCTAACAAACCAGAAACAGGACTGGACATGACTCCACCCACTCCTCCTGCTCTACTGAGTGGCCAGCGTGTTTCTTTGCCATAAATGCAGAAAGGGCAAACTGTGCAGGCCTCTTGACCACTGCTGTCAGTGTTGGTCCTCTAGTTCCCGTCATCGCAGAGAGGCCCAAGCTGAAGCAAGTAGCACGTGTTTGGGAGGAAGGGACCAAATGATGCTTATACCCATGAGTTGTCCTGCCCCGGGGTAGGAGTGCCCCTAGGCATCACAGAGAAAGCTATGAGGCCAGTCTCCAGGTTCAAGATGCTCCAGGGAGTGCGGGGAAGGTAGATAGGGGACTTGGGGTCAGACCTGATCACATTCTGGTGCTGTCATTGACAATCACATAGCCAGACCTCCATAGCTTCTGCAGTTGATAGCACCAAGGAACAACAGGAGGTGTCAGGGCTGCTGTGGTCAAGCTGCAGGGAGAACCCGTGGCCCTCTGCAGTCAGAAGCACCAACCTGCTCCCTGATGCTTCCCTCTCCCTGGTACCACGCCCTTGGTGAGGCCGGACATCCTCGTAGGACCAGAGCTGCTGCTAGAGGGTCCTGAGCTTCACAACTTGTGTCTCATGCTCCACAGATGAGGTTCCCCCAGAATCCAAGGAAGAGATGTACTCTGAGTTGCAACCTCAGCAGGGTGAGTCACATCCCACTGCCCTCTGCTTGGTTCTGTACGGACTGCCTCACCAAGCCATCGTGTGAGCTAAACCCTGGAGTCTGTGGGGCCGCTACTCTGAGCTCTACCCTCTGAGGCTCCTCCCGACTCAGGTCCCTTTCCCCACCTTCTGGGGCTAATCCCAGCTTTGACACACACAGCCTGATGTCTGTCCTTCTGTCCATGATACATAGTCCTGAGAAGACAGCTGTTCCTGGATACAGCATCTAAGCTCCCGCTCATTCTTGTTAGCCCACAAGTTTGTTTTTGGTTTTAGTGTTTTCATAAACAACTAAAGTTTACACACAGCTAAGTGTGCGGTGTGTTTCTGGAGGTCCAGGGCAGGAGCTGTGGCATCTGGCTACGATCACCAGCACATTCTGGCACCATCAAAGCTGACAGGAGGATGCTCTCCTTGTGTGAACTGAGACCCACCATACTCTCCCCACAGGTCTGGAGATGTGTGTGGTCCGCCTGTCCCCTGTTCTCCTGGCTGCTGTGTCAGGGTTCTCGGGAAAATACTCATCTTATGCACAATCCTGCAGTTCCAAACAGGCTTTTCCTGATATGGCAGTCAAGAGTGGTCCATGAGGTCTTGGAGGGCCCTTTCAGCACAGATGTGGCTCCTCTTTGCCCATCCTGGCTCTCCACCCAGGAGAGGAGGAGAGCAAAGAGCAGTCCACAGGGAAGAAGCTTGAAGTCCCAGTGTGTTCCATTAGCTTCCCTGACTGCTGCCTCTGCTAAAGGGTCAGGGTGGAGCTACCTCCCATTTTCTCTTTGAGTGACACAATGCTACAGAAAGAGGGTCCTTTTGCCTCATGGTTCTGGAAGCCAGGGGGATTGTATCCAGCGATGGCCTTCTTGCTGATAAGAGTTCTGTGTCCCAAGGTGCTGTACATATCTGACAGTGAGAGGCAGGGAGTATACCTTCCCTGGCCTGTCTTTCCTCTTACAAAGCCACTAGGTTCCAGTCATAGGGTCTACACCCTGACCTTGATAAATCTCAGTCACTTCACAAGCTGGGCCCAAACCCTCACTTTTTCACACCTCACAACAGGCACTGACTTCTGGATACCAGCACTCAAACCATCTTAGAAATGGGGCTTTTTCTTTGTTCTGAACCAGAACTGTGAAAGCAAGGGATGCAGAACCACTGACAGCTGTTCCTAGTCCTAAGCCTTGTGGGACCCAGAGCTATCTCCACAGAACTGGTGTCAGATGGGTAGCCCTGGGGGAGATGTCACCTAAGGGAAGGACAGGGCTGAAAGAGGCATTCTTGACAGCTGAGCATCTCCTGAGTACCTTGCTACTGTGTACTCAGCTTTCCCTGCCTCTGTCTCTAGACACAGGGACTGATGCCAAGGTTCCCTGAATCAGGACACATGTGGTCAAAAATTGTTTTTTATAAAGCAGAGATTAGTATCTCTAAAACAACTGAAGAAAGACGATGCAGTCAATGTCACACAACACTGCTGCCATGCCAGAAGAGGTCTATACAAAACAAAACCTGAAAACCTCTCCCCTCACCCCCAGTGCAGTCTTGGGTACTTCTTTATCCCAGAAAAGTGGAGTTTCAGCTCCCACCTCCCATACATATAACTGAGTGTTTATAGATCAGCCTTGCTCATGATGACAGAACACCAGAAATAGCACAAGTGTCCTTCAGTGAGCAGAAGACAACATCCATGTTGCATCGCAGGGTGGACTAGTGTCCCTTCACCATGACAAAGAATGTGGGCTGATTCCAGCTCGCAGTCTTGCTCCGAGCCCATGAAGAGGCAGTGAAACAACATGGTGCAAACTGTGGTAAACAGAGCGGCTCACTTTATAGCCAGAAGGCAAACAGGATGAGGCTGGAGTCCCACAAAGCTTTTCAATGTCCCACACCCAAAGGCCTAAAGAACTCTTCTCTGATTGGGCCCAGTTTCCCACAGCACCACCCCGGGAAACAGGTTTTTGATATACAGGCCTCAGAGAATACTCCAGAATGAACCATAGCACTCATTCTTGTATTTAAAAGGAAAACAAACAAACAAACAAAAAGCCATCGATAGAGTGACCTAGATGGACCTGGAGGGCCCCTGCTGAGAAATAGAAGCCCCTGTAAAAGTTAAAAGGTTTCATTATATAACATTATCAAATAACAAAGCAGAGAGACAAGTGAATCAGTATTCCCAGAGCATAGGGACAAATCAAGGAATAGCAGCAGAGAGCCTGGTGACAGCCTCATTTGCATTTTGACTGTGGCAGTGATACCTGCCAGCACAAGAGACAGTATTTCAGAGTTACTACACATAGGCAGAAGCTTGATGACCTCACCAACACCTGGGGCCCATATCACTGTGTCTGTTCTGCCATTCAGGACAGTTATGCCAACTGTCACTGCTGGGGAAGAAGGGGCAGGACTGAAGGTCCTTTATCCCGAAGGTTGGTATTCAAAGAAAACCACAGACGGCACCAAACCCCAGAGGGAAATGTGGGAGAATACAAGAGGTGTTGCCAGAGATACCAAAATCAGTCTTTGCTGGAGATGGATTCTCTTTTATGGCCTGCCCCCTCTTCTGTGCCACTCTCCTGTGCCTTGTCCCACTAGCTGGTAGAACAAGGGTCATGTGAACATACTCCTGAGATTACAGGACAGGGACTCTGATACCTGAGATGCTGCCCCAAGCCTAGCAGTCAGGTAGCATGTAGCACAATCCACCTTGGTGAGACGATGTGATGCCACAAGTCACAACAGCTAGCACATTCACAAGCTACACAGAATGGTGTGCAGCTTGTTACAAGCTGTTGAATTGTGGAGTTTCTCTCTCTCTCTCTTTTTTTTTTCTAACCTCACTTGAAGTCAGGTGCCTGAAACCACCAACAGTGCACCCATGGGTAAGGGGGCTGCACAGTTTCTCTGACTTCAGAGAATCTACATTTCACCTGACACACAAATATGTCAAGCAAACATCTTGGAATGACATTGGAAGAGTTATATGTGATTCTCCTCTACTTTGATTTTTCTGTTTTAAAAACACATATGCCTACTTGTTCCAGAATTTAAACACACACACACACACACACACACACACACACACACACACACACACACACAAAGCTAACTAACGACCGGGGAATAAATTGAAATCTGAGCAGTACTGGAAATATGAGCTTTCTTCTACAAAGACGTTGGCACTCACCCAAACAACAAGAATAAAAGCTTCTGGAAATATTTCATCTGCAGTATCACATTCTTCACCTCACAGCATGTCTGCTCATGTGAGAAATATTAAACAGTGAGTGCTATTCCATGTATCAAAGGCGTTAAAATAACTTTCTGAATTATGCCCCAGCAACATAACAAATCACATTATCAATTAGCTCCCGTGGCAGAAGTGGCATTCTGTAATATATTCAAGCATGAAAAAATTGCATAGGTGAAATTTATGTAACCCTAAAAACTATGAGGAGAAAAAAGATTGCTTGGGATTTATTGGTCATAATGGGAGACAGGATGTAATTCCAGCGGTGGATGGCCTCCGAGTAAGGTACCAGCCCTGCCTCTTAAGAGGCCTCTCCTGGATGCAATAGACAGAAGGTAGGCAGGGGCATGGGACACAAGGGTGATGGCTGATGTCCACATCTAGCCTGGACTTCCTTATGTCAGGTGACCCTGCACAGGTGGGTAAGGTAGAGGTGGGGCCATCTGTAGGTTTGCTGCCACCTCTGAGCTAGCACAGTGAGAAAGGGGCCATGCTGGACGGTCTTCACCTCAAACTTAAGCAGGTCACTCTCGATAGCTCCACCTCCTCTGGGAAATCCCCAGGGGAAGCAGGAACCAGGAGTTACCCATGTAGGGCTAAGGAGGAGTAGTGGACCAAAGGTCTAACCCCATCCAGCGCCTTGACAATACTAAAGGGTGTTGTCTGCATAGCCTCCAGCCCATGACCTACTATGGATGCTGTGTAAAATGTCTACATTAGGCCAGCCATCTCTACTATAGCTGGTCAATTAGCCTCTTAAATGTCCCTCTATTCTCTTTGTGGTGAAAAATTCCAATTTTTAAAATAAAGACTTTTGTTAACTGTTTATAGAAGAAATTTTGGAAAATAAGAAAAGCATGTGTGGATATAAAACCTTGTGGTCCATATCAAAGCTGCATGAAGGCTCAGCAGAGAGTGTCTCCCTGGCATTGTCTCACTACCCCCAGAGCCATCACTTTAGGAGATGGAGTATATTGCATCTCACAGTTTTTAACCAAAGTCCTGTTTTAAAACATCCTTTCCCTCCAATTGGTGACAGCCAAAGCTTGTAATAGGCCAGGGGTCCCTGTCAAAGCCTGTCTGCTGATCCTGTAGCCCTTATCTCCTAAGGACTAGATCCCAGTACCTAGGGTTCTCTAGGCACAGCCATTAGACAGGACCAGGGGACATGGGGGAACAGTGGACACTACAGTCAAGTGGGCTGCAGCCCTGAGCAGAAACACAGATAGGCTCAACCTGTATCCTTGACATAAGTCTGACCCAGCAGTCGTCTCCCCTGTACCTGGTGCCCCTTGCTTACACTCCTTGTCTATTGCCTCCTCTACTCATGGAACTTTCCTCTGGGAAGATTTAACCCAGCATGAGAGCCAGGTCTTTGAAGATCAGGCTCCCACTCTGTTCCTATCCACTCAGGAGCAAACCCTGGTTTCTGGAGGGGAATCACCAAAGCTGAGGTCCACATACTGCACCAACACTCGACATCCATTTCTCATGAAGCTCTCCAGACATCATTCTTGGGGATCACCCTGCTTAGGGTAGCACTCAGATATTGGCCCCAGCCACCTCTTCTGTTGCCTACCCAGCCTTAGGCTACCATTTGCTGCACAGGAAAACATAACATCTTCTTCCCAGGTCTGGTTCCCCCAGGGCCATTGCATGTAACATACAGAGTGGCAGCTGGAACCTTTGGGGGGGTCCCTGAATTGCCCCTGGAATTCCAAGGTGAGATTTCCCTACTTCCCCACTGGCCAGATTGCCCATCCACCAGCCACTTCCCGGAAGCCTGCCTGCCCCTTCCCTGTCTAGCTTCGTCCTCTCCAGTCAATCCAAGCAGTGAAGTTACAGCCACAGCTAAGGTCCTCTAGCTGATCTGGATTAAGGAATTAGGCAGGTTAATAAAACTAAAATGTTCACAGACGCTTG